CCGTGATCTTGGCTCACTGCAATCTCCACTTCCCAGGTTCAAATGATTCTCATGCCTCAACCCTCTGAGTATCTGGGATTACAGGCACCCGCCACCACGCCTGGCTAATTTTTGTATTTTTACTAGAGACAGGGTTTCACCATGTTGGCCAGGCTTGTCTCAAACTCCTGACCTCAGGTGACCGCCCGCCTCGGCCTCCCAAAGTACTGGGATTACAGGTGTGAGCCACCGTGCCAGGCCTAGATCACCCTATTTTTCTTTCTTTTTTCTTTTCTTTTTTTTTTTTTTTTTTTTAAGACGGAGTCTCACTCTGTCCCCAGGTTGGAGTGCAGTGGCGAAATCTCAACTCACTGCAACCTCCGCCTCCTGGGTTCAAGCGATTCTCCTGCCTCAGTGTCCTGAGTAGCTGGGATCACAGGTGTCTGCCACGACGCCTGGCTAATTTTTTTTGTATTTTTAATGGAGACGGGGTTTTACCATGTTGGCCAGGCTGGTCTCAAACTCCTGACCTCAAGTGATCCGCCCACCTCAGCCTCCCAAAGTGCTGGGATTGCAAGGCATGAGCTATCACACCTGGCCTAGACCACCCTATTTTAAATGGATCACCCCATCCCACTACTGCCCTGTGTAGTCAGCATACATGATTTTCCCCATCGTACCCACCCCATGTATCATACTATTTTACATTGCTTTTAATATGTCTTGAAAATTTTTTTTTTTTTTTGTCTCTCTATACTGCAACTTCCCCCAGTTCCTCAGCCTCTGCAAGGCAGAGACTTGGCTCATTCATTCATTGCTATCTTCCCAGGGCCTGGAACATAGTAGGTGCTCAGTAAATATTTGCTGAACGAAACAATATTTAGGCGGCACAAAGACAGTCACGTACTCAGACTGACCATCAGGAAAACACAGAGACGCCTGGAGACGGCTATGCGGTCCCTCTCACACCGTCTCCGACATGCGGGCTGATGGTCAGGAATGCTCACAGTTGACAGTGCGTGAGAGGACCGGTGCGGACACCGTTGGCACATGTGCCGTCTCCTGCACACCCAGCTGTCCCGGCTGCCCTCCTAGCTGGCCCTGCAACCACTGCCCACAGATGTAGGCAGATTCACAAGCAGGCCAGGCCTCCTTGGCCCTACAAACGCCCCCTTCACCTGTGGTCGAGGAGACTGGGGGAGGGCAAGGGCAGAAGCGTGTGGCCTTTACCTCCTGTGTGTACCTCACTTTCCCCATCCAGAGGACCAGAGACCAGGAGTGCTCCTTGAAAAGGCAGCGATTCCCAGCGGGGGCCTGAAGTGCCCCTGCCGAAGCCCCCAGTGGTTTGAAGGAAGTGCTCCCGGGTGACCACAAGGCTAGATAAGTCAGGGTTAGCAGGTCACAACTTGGGTGACTGGTCGGGGGAGGGCCATGACCCACTTTGTCACCCCACAGGAAAGCACTGCTCTCACCCCAGCTGCCCGTTCCCACATTGCTGCTCATGTTGACCTAGGGAGACGGGAGACGTACCCCCGGGTAGTCCCATCTGTCCCCCTCGCAGTCCCAATCTGAGCCTGAGCCCCCAGGAGCCTGTGCTGTCCTGGGGTGTGCCTGGCGGCCTCCTACCTCGGGTCCTTTTTGCCGACCCTTCCCGTTTCCCAGATGTCTTTCGCAGTCCCCCCTGCCCCTCCACAGGTGGATCCTATCCTCCAGGGAACACCTGTGTCCCTTGCTTCCCGGCTATCGAGGCACAGGCCTCTCCCCGTACTCACCATGGCTGCAGGCAGGTGATGGGCCACGGGATGAGTGGGACCCGAGCTGGGGCCGCTGCCTTCAGGAAGTGACTGTGGCTTCTGCTCCACGGCCAGCACACAGGGTGGGGGCTGCTGGAGGTGGGGCGGGGGAGGGCAGAGGAGGAAGGGAAGGAGGTGGGGAGGCTCCAATCTGTCTCCAGATCCTGCCAGCCACTTCTTTTTTTTTGAGACTGAGTCTCGCTCTGTCGCCCAGGCTGGAGTGCCATGGTGCCATCTCGGCTCACTGCAACCTCTGCCTCCCGGGTTCAGGCAATTCTCTTGTATCAACCTCCTGAGTAGCTGCGATGATAGGCACGCACCACCACTCCTGGCTACGTTTTGTATCTTTAGTAGAGAAGAGGTTTCACTGTGTTGGGCAGGCTGGTCTCAAACTCCTGACCTCAAGGGATCAGTCCGCCTCGGCCTCCCAAAGTGCTGGGATTACAGGCGTGAGCCACTGCGCCTGGCCCCTCCTGGGCACTTCTATTTCCCTTGAATTCCTGGCCTGCCTGCTACTGTCCCAAGCTTGGGGCATTGGTTGCCTGCATGTTCCTAACATGGTCACTAGTTTCTTTTTTTTTTTTTTATTTGAGACAGAGTCTCACTCTGTTGCTCAGACTGGAGTGCAGTGGTGTAATCTTGGCTCACTGCAACCTCCGCCTCACAGGTTCAAGCAATTCTCCTGCCTCAGTCTCCTGAGTAGCTGGAATTACAGGTAAGCACCACCATGCCTGGCTAATTTTTTGTATTTTTAGTAGAGATGAGGGTTCACCATGTTGGTCAGGCTAGTCTTGAACTCCCAACCTCAAGTGATCTGCCCGCCTTGGCCTCCCAAAGTGCTGGGATTACAGGCGTGATCCACCTGACCAACTAACTAGTTTCTTACTCTCTGTAGTCCCCGTCATTCCCACCGCTTTGGTGTCCCCATCTCCGGACTCCAGGGAGGACTCCATGCCAGGCGCTGGTGATCTCCTGGGCTGGAGAGCCACAGGATGGGGAGATCTCAGCAGGTCAGGGGTACGGACAGCTCTGGGGTTTAGGAGGCTCCTGGGGAGGCCCAGAGACCCAGGACGTGGGGGCCCATGTGACCGGGTGAGGCCTCTACTATCTGCCCCGGTTGGCTCATCCGCCTTCCTCATTTCATTCCTCCCAGGGCTGCCACCCTGTGCAGAAAGCTCAGCTGGTATGGCAGATTTGGGGGTTGGGGGGTGAGTGGTGTCAAAGGCCTTGCACCTGGGCCGGGCATGGTGGCTCATGTCTGTAATCCTAACACTTTGGGAGGCTGAGGCAGGATGATCCCTTCAGCCCAGGAGTTCAAGACCAGCTTGAGCAACATAGGAAGACTCCATCTATACAAAAAACATAAAAAATTAGTCAGGTGTGGCCGGGCGCCGTGGCTCAGCTGTAATCCCAGCACTTTGGGAGGCCGAGGCGGGCGGATCACAAGTCAGAGATCGAGACACATGAAACCCGTCTACAAAAATACAAAAATTAGCCGCGCGGGGGGCGCCGTAGTCCCAGCTACTCAGGGTGGGCAGGGAATGGCGGAACCGGGAGGCGGAGCTGCAGGAGCCGGATGCGCCACTGCACTCCAGCCTGGCAACAGCGTGAGACTCCGTCACAAAAAAAAAAAAAAAAAAAAAAATTAGTCAGGTGTGGCCGGGCGCGGTGGCTCACGCCTGTAATCCCAGCACTTTGGGAGGCCAAAGTGGGTGGATCACGAAGTTAGGAGATCAAGACTATCCTGGCTAACACGGTGAAACTCCATCTCTACTAAAAATACAAAAAATTAGCTGGGTGTGGTGGCAGACGCCTGTAGTCCCAGCTACTTGGGAGGCTGAGTCAGGAGAATGGCGTGAACCCAGGAGGCGGAGCTTACAGTGAGCAGAGATTGCGCTACTGCACTCCAGCCTGGGCGACAGAGCCAGACTCTGTCTCAAAAAAAAAAGAAAATATTAGCCAGGTGTGATGGTACGCGCCTGTGGTCTCAGCTGCTTGGGAGGCTGGGGTGGGAGGATTGTTTGAGCCCAGGAAGCAGAGGCTGCAGTGAGCTATGATCACACCGCTGCACTCCAGCCTGGATGACAGAGCAAGACCCAATCTCAATCAATCAATCAAGAGCCACAGTAAAAAAAAAAAAAAAAAAAAAAAGGCTGAGCGAGGTAGCTCATGCCTGTAATATGAGCACTTTGGGAGGTTGAGGCAGGCGGATCACCTGAGGTCGGGAGTTTAAGACCAGTCTGGACAACATAGAGAAACCATGTCTCTACTAAAAATACAAAAATTAGCTCAGCATGGTGGCACATGCCTATAATCCTGGCTACTCGGGAGACTGCGGCAGGAGAATTGCTTGAACCGGGGAGGCAGAGGTTGCAGTGAGCCGAGATGGCGCCACTGCACTCCAGTCTAGGTGACAGAGCGAAACTCCATCTAAAAAAAACCCCAAAAAACAGAACCTCCAAGAAACTCTGACTTAATCAGTCTGAGGTGTGGCCTGAGCAAGTTTTTTTAAATTTTTTAATTGTTTTTGAGACAAAGTCCTGCTCTGTCACCCAGTCTGCCTCCCGGGTTCAAGTGGCTGGGATTACAGGTGTCCACCAACATGCCTGGCTAATTTTCTGGATTTTTAGTAGAGATGGGGTTTCACCATTGACCAGGCTGGTCTCAAACTCCGGACCTCAAGTGATCTACCCGCCTGGACCTCCCAAAGTGCTGGGATTACAGGCGTGAGTCACTGCGCCTGGCCTGCCTGTTTGTTTTCACACCTCCTTTAAGAGCACAGACATCATGATTCTGCCATCTTGCCATCTCTGTTGTGCCTTTGCATCCGGTCCAGGGTCACAGTTGCCAGATGTGGGTTGCCCTCCCAAACGGGAGTCTCGGGAGGACAGTATGGGCCCTCCGTGGGTTTCCAGAACCTGGGTAAGTGAAGGAAAGAATGAAAGAACAAGTGGCCGGGCCCGGTGGCTCACGCCTGTAATCCCAGAACTTCGGGAGGCCAGGCGGGCGGATCACCTGAGGTCAGGAGTTCGAGAGCAGACTGGCCAACATGGTGAAACCCTGTCTCTACTAAAAATATAAAAATTAGCTGGGCGTGTTTGTGCACACCTGTAATCCCAGCTACCTGCGAGGGTGAGGCGGGAGAACTGCTTGCACCCGGGGAGGCGGAGGTTGCAGTGAGCTGAGATTGTGCCATTGCACTCCAGCCTGGGTGACAGGGCGGGACTCCGTCTCAAATAAATAATAATAAATAAATATAAATAAATAAATAAAGCAATTCTTGGCCACAGTAGGTGCTCAATCAAGGTAATTAAGGGATTGGATGACAGCTGATGGATTCCCAGGTGCCTGGGTCGGTCACACTGCCCGTGCACTCTCGCAGCTAGGAGGGTCCAGACAGGGCGCGCGCACCAAGGCACCACGGGGGCGCCGTGGGGGTGACGCGCAGGTCCCGGCGCGGTCGTCATGGTGCGCCTCCCCACCAACTCCCCTTTGTGTATTTGGCGCCTCCGTAGGGGCTCCCAGCAGGGTTCCGCGCTGCACGGCCGCAGATAGGGACCGATAGGGCTCTGGAATCCCAGAGAAGCAAGCCCGGACCAGGGGCAGTGAGAGTTCGTTAGGGCGCGGCTCCGGGACTCTGCGGTCGGAAACCGGAACAAGTGTGCGCAGGGGGAGGAGCCCGGGGAGCACGTGCGCGGCGGATTCCAGGGCCGCGGGGCGCTTTCCTCCTCCCTGCTCCCGGCCCGCGGTGAGGGTAACCGGACCGGCACCTGCAGATGACAGCTGGGGCTGGACAAATGCCGGGCGGTGCACGGGCCTCTGGCCGGCCTCAGAGCTGTTCAGCACGAGCCCGCGGCTTCCAGCCAACCTGCCTGCTATCTGTACTGCGCTCCCGGCTTTCATTCCCCCGAGTCTGAGACTCCTGGGCGCCCCCTGCTGGGCGGAGCCGGGGCCCGAGAGGACTGGGTTCCTGTGCATGGGGGTTGGGAGCCGGTTTGAGGGTAGGAGGTCGTTTTTGTAGTGGACAGGGTGAACGGCGGAAGCCAGGTGGTGATCCAGCTCCCCAGGCCTCGGGGCAGTCAGTTCACTCCAGAGGGCAGTGTGATGACCGTGGGCCCACTGTACACACAGGAAGGGCTGTCCCATCTCCGTGGGTAAGGGAGAGGTCCCTGGACGGAGGTGTCGGCTCTGGGTCTCTCTGGAAAGATAGTGACAGACTGGGAAGTAGCGTGGGCTAGATCTGGGGGTGGCCGAATGAGGAAACTGATGGGGACGAAGACTCTTGCTGGCCTCCGGGACCCTGGAGAGGGGTTAGGGGCCCGGGGGACAGAGAACACAGCGCTATTCCTGGAGATGGGGGATAGGCTTGGACTACAGCCAGATCTAGAGACCTCCAGAGTGCGGGAACAGGGGCGTGTCCTCTGGACCTGCTGCCAGGGTTTCCTCATCCCGTGGTAACTGTGCGCAGCTCCCAAGATGGTGCAGAATCAGTGGCCCTGACTTGGAACTGGCGCTGGCTAGAGGCCTCCTAGCCTCACCTTCTCTATGTATCTGTAAAACGGGCCCCTTCACCTGTCCCACCCTCCTCCCCAGGCAGCCATGGGCTCGGGATGTGAAGTTCTCGGCAGACATTTCCCAAGTCCCTCCTCTCCCCGCAGCCTCTCTTTTCATCCTCCCATCCACCCCAAAGGGCTCACCCGTCATCATGACACCCTTTTAAGGACGAGGGAATTGGGAGGCGGGGAGGTCGAGTCTTTTCCAGGGTCCCACAGTGGTGGTTTCAAGGCTTCTGGCTGAGAAGGGGGAGCTTAGGGGGCCTTGGAGCCCCGAGGCCTCCTGATGGCCTGTCCAACCCCATCCTGAGTGACAGCGACCTCAGCTGGGGCCTAGGGATGCTGGGAGAGTGGACACCCAGCCCAAGCCACGTGAGCTGAGGCTGCAGCCCCATCACATCACAGCCCCATCAAGGACAGGGCAGTCTTCAGGTCCCTGGTGAGGCTGTGGGCAGTGGGGCACACAGACGGGTCCTAAGGGCCTGAGGATCCCCTCCTGCCCCTTGCAGTGGCTGAAGGGCTTCCGGAGCCCAGAGCTGTCCATCTTTGAGGTGACATGGCACTGAGCAGGTGTGGGGCAGGTGGCCCTTGGCTTGTTTACCTGGATGGCTTTGACTCAGAGCCTGAGGTGGACACGGTGGTGGATGAAAAGTCCAAGGAAGATAGGTGTGGTGACTCACGCCTGTAATCCCAGCACTTTGGGAGGCCAAGGCAGGTGGATCAGCTGAGGTCATGAGTTCGAGACCAGCCTGGCCAACATGCTGAAACCCCATCTCTACTGAAAATACAAAAAAATTAGCCAGGCATGGTGGATGGCACCTGTAATCTCAGCTACTCGGGAGGGTGAGGCAGGAGAATGGCGTGAACCTGGGAGGTGGAGGTTGCAGTGAGTCGAGATGGCGTCACTGCACTCCAGCCTGGGCTACAGTGCGAGACTTGGTCTCAAAAAAAAAAAAAAAAAAAAACAATCTGAGGAAGACGACAAGGAAGGTGTTGGGGGGCAAGGAGAAGGTGGGAGGGCAGTGACGGAGGAGTGGGGTCCGGGGGCCCCGTCCAGGGGTCACTGGTGTCTTGGCTGCAGATGCCAGGATGAGGAGGTGAGGGGGACCCCGAAGAGGATTTAGAGAATGGAGAAAGAGGAGGAGGTAAAGATTGAGACAGGTGGACTGGGGTGAAGGAGGTCCCTGGGCTACTGGGAGAACAGGATCTTCATCGACAGGGCTGTGGGAAGCCACTGAAGGGTGCTGGGCAGGAGAGGGGAACAATCAGAAGAGACCCTGGCAGGGTGTGGTGGCTCACACTTGTAATCCCAGTACTTCGGGAGACCAAGGTGGGTGGATCACCTGAGGTCAGGAGTTCGAGACCAGCCTGGCCAACATGTTGAAACCTCGTCGCTACTAAAAACACAAAAAGTTAGGCAGGGGTGATGGCAGGCGCCCGTAATCCCAGTTACTTGGAGTCTGAGTCAGGAGAATCGTTTGAATCCAGAAGGCGGAGGTTGCAGTGAGAGCCGAGAGCGTGCCACTGCACTTCAGTGACAGAGCAAGACTCTGTCTCCCCCCCAAAAAAAAAAAAAGGAAAAAGAGGAGACCATTGTCAGTCTTGGGGGAAGGGCAGGTTGGGGAGAGTAGGGGGTGGGCTAGGGGACCCTGGGGCTGGCGAGATGAGGATAGAAGGGAGAGGAATCATGGAGGTAAAACCAGCCTCCAAGGGGTGGTTGTGGACATCACCTGGGACTTCCATACCCAGGAGGACACTGGCTTCGGGGGTGAAGAGAAAGTCCAGGCCACGGAGGGCTGGCCTTGACCCACCCTGCTCCTCAGAGCTGGGACACGGTGGAAACCGGTCTGGCAGACAGTGAGGAGGATGAAGACCTGAGCCCCCAGCCGGCCTCCCCAATTCTAAAGAATTCTTCCCCTTGAGTCAGTGCGGGGTTCGGGGTCTGGGGTCTTCAGGCCATCCTGGCCAGTCCCTGCACTTTCTCAGGACCAGCCCGTCCCCGGAGCTCCCGGGATTGTTTTTTTTTGTCTCCCAGGCCAGGGTTGCAATGGTGTGATGATGGCTCACCACAGCCTTGAACTGCTGTGCTCAAGTGATCCTCCTGCCTCAGCCTCCCAGGTAGCCACCACGGCTGGCTATTTTTTTTTTTTTTAGACAGAGTTTCGCTCTGTCACCCAGGCTGGAGTGCAGGGGCTTGATCTTGGCTCACTGCAACCTCCGTCTCACTGGGTTCAAGCCATTCTCCTGCCTCAGGCTCTCGGGTAGCTGGGATTACAGGTGCCCACCACCATGCCCGGCTAATTTTCATATTTTTAGTAAAGATGGGATTTTGCCATGTTGGCCAGGTTAGTCTCAAACTCCTGACCTCAAGTGATCCACCCGCCTTGGCCTCCCACAGTGCTAGGATTACAAGCATGAGGCATGAGCCACCGTGCCCAGCAATGCCTGGCTATTTTTTGGTGTTTTTTTGTTTTTTTTTTTTTTGAGATGGGAGTCCCGCTCTGTCGTCCAGGCTGGAGTGCAGTGGCGCGATCTCGACCCACTGCAAGCTCTGCCTCCTGTGTTCACTCCATTTCCCTGCCTCAGCCTCCCGAGTAGCTGGGACTACAGGTGCCTGCCACCACGCCCGGCTAATTTTTTGTATTTTTTTTTTTTTTAGTAGAGACGGGGTTTTACTGTGCTAGCCAGGATGGTCTCGATCTCCTGACCTCGTGATCCACCTGCCTCGGCCTCCCAAAGTGCTGGGATTACAGGCGAGACCCACTGTGCCCGGCCGGGACTTTTTTTTGGCGAGGGAGGGAGTCTTGCTGTGTCGCGCAGGCTGGAGTGCAGTGGCACGATCTCGGCTCACTGGAAGCTCCGCCTCCCGTGTTCACGCCATTTTGCTTGGCTCAGCCTCCCCAGCAGTTGGGACTACAGGCGCATGCCGCCATGCCCGGCTAATATTTTTTGTATTTTTAATAAAGAGGGGGATTCACGTCTGTAAACCCAACGTGTTAGCCAGGATGGTCTCGATCTCCTGATCTCGTGATCCGCCCGCCTAGGCCTCCCAAAGTGCTGGGATTACAGGCGTGAGCCACCGCAACCGGCCCCAGCCGGGACTTCTTAAAAGAAAACTGGAAAGTCCTATCCCATTTGGTTTCCGGACAAGGGAGAGCAGTGCCACAGTGGGTATTGGGGACCTGGGTCTCAGGATTGGGGTGATGGGGAGATAGGACACAGGTGGGCTGAGGCTTGCACCTGTGGACCCAGGTGGTCCTCCCAAGATGTGATCGCTCCATGACTGCTGGGGTCCAGCCCACTGCACTTTGGGGGGGGGCAAGGGATGGGAACACAGCACAGGCTGGCTCATGGCGCCTTCTTTATTGTCCACCCCAATCCCCTTTCCCTGCAGCCCCCTCCAAATGACAAAACTACCCACATCCCATGGGCCACCCCGAAAGCGGCAGGGTTCAGAGCTGCGAGAACACTGGAAGCTCCCCCTCTGAAAGCAGCGGCGACACCTTGGGTGCAAGCGGGGCCGGATCTGGGTGGGGCAGAGGAGGGGGGCGCCTGAGCCTCAGCGCCTTGGGCCCCCGCCCCCCTCTCCACCCGCGCATTCCTCGGCCTTACCCGCGGGGGCGTCGGGGCGCGGTGGCCCGGGCGCGGGGGCCGCGGGGGCGCCGGGGCGGTGGTCCTCCAGGTGCAGGGTCATGGCGGACCGCGAGGCCGTGGAGAAGGCGCACTGCATGCACGAGTAGCGGCCGCGCGTGTGCTCCCACACGATGCGGCTCGGGGCCGCGTGCCCTGCGGGCAGGCGGGACCCGGTCAGTCCCGGGCTCCCCCAACCCAGAAGACCCGTGCGCTAAGGATGGAAGACGCCGGCGAGGGTGGGTGGGACCTTTTCCCACCCCCCATCAGCTTCCGGGCGCCTGGTTCAGTTTCACCTGGGTCTGTCTGCCCGCAGAGTTGGGGGCACCCAACTTAGCTTTTCCGCGTCCCCTACTACCATCCCCAGATCCACCGCCGGGGAGAAGCCCGCTCCGAGGTGAACGGTGAAAGGGGCGCAAAGTTTACACGGGAACGCCGGCGCAGATGAAGGCGCAGGTGCCAGTCATTTTTAAGGCAAAAATTCTGTATTTCGGGACGGTGGCATTTGTGGCCCCCTGGGAAAGGGATAGGCACTGTTCCCTCCTGGTATCCACCGGACCCCGCAGGGCGCAGGAAAGCCCCTCCACCCCTCCCCGGTGGTCACCTGCACGCACCTGAGGGCGCGCCGGAGCCGCCCTGGGGTCTTCGGGGGCTGCTGCCAGCACCTGCGGTAAAGGGGCGGGTCAAGTTCAGAGTCGGGGCGAGGCCAGCTCACCCTCCTGGTGACCCCCACCCCCATACTCACCTTGGCTCTTTTTCCAGACGGCGGCGCTGGAAGCCGGCGGCCCGGGTGCAGCGGCCAGGAAGGGGCACAGGCGCGGGGGGCTTAGGCCAAAGGGCGCAGGGATCAAGTAGGGCACGAACGGTCCGGTGGCGGCAGGGGCGGGGGTCGTGAAAGGTTCCAGCAGCGGGAACTGCAGGCCCGGCGCTGACGCGAGGTCAACCTCCGGGGGACGCTCGGGCGCCGGCGGCTCTCGGTCCAGGGCCGGGGGTGGTGGCGGGGCTGGGCTCTGCGCATTCTCCACGCAAACATGTAGATGCTTGAAGAGCGAGCGGTGCGTGCGGAAGCGCAGGAGGCAGTTCTCACACCTGGGGGTGGGCAGAGAGCTGGGCTGGGCCTCCAGGGAGACCAGAGAGAGGGTTCTGTGCAATGCCACCCGCCCTTCGAGCGTGGGAACCGAGCCTGGGCACCAATCGCCACCCCGCTCCCGTACAAGCGTGGCAGCGACCCTTCCTGACCACTACAGGTGCTGGTTTCCTGGGGAAACCCGGAAAGAAGTCTCAATTTTAAGTTAGGAGGCCGGTTTTCCACTTGGGAGGTAACGCCTCGCGGGGTGGAGCCACCCCCACTTATGCCCCGCCCCATCCAGCAATGTAGGGGCGGGGCTTCCCCCAAAAGGCCACCCACATCAAATCCCGCCCTCCAACACCCTGACCAGGAAGGGAGGAAGGCCTGGAGCCCACACACAGGGTGAGGCTAGGGCAGGGCAGAGCTCAAGAGGTCAGGGTCTCACTTGAAGTAGCGATTGGGCTTGTAGTGCAGTTTGCTGTGAGCCACCAGCTCCTGCATGCTGGGGAAGGTCTCGGTGCAGCTCAGGGCTGAGCAGCGGAAGAGCTTGCCTGGTAAGGATGAAGACAGAGGAGTGGAAAGGGGTGGTCAAGGCTGGCTCCGAGGGGCTCCACCTGTTTCCCACCCTAACCTGCCTCCCCATTACCGGTCCTGGCCCTACCTTCCAGGGACTGTGTGGGCGGACAGTGGGTTCGAAGATGCTGTGCCAGGTCACGGACGCTGGGAAAACTGAGGGAGCAGCCAGGGCTGGAGCAAGGGATTTGCTTCCCTGCAGGACGCACAGAACAGGGGTCACTGGTCCCTTCCTCACTAGTGCTGTCCCTGACCCCAGGGCTCTGCCCCAGAGAAGCAAATATGATGCTGGGGCCTCTACTCTCTGCCTACCACAACAAACTGATCTGCCACAGTGCAGGGGCTGGATTGGCCACGCTCACCATTGGAGCCACAGCCTGGCATCCACTGGCAGCACAGTAAAATGATGAGTGGCATCCCTCTAGAAAGGCCCTTAGGTTAGAGATTCTCTACTTCTTGCCTCTATTGTTCCAGGGCCCGTGACTCCCCAGAAGGTCCCATCACAGATCACCTGGAGGTGGGCGTCGTCTGGGAGGCCGCAGGTCCTCGCTGGTCCCGGAGACTATGCTGGTCGGGCCAGGGCTGGGTCCGGGGCCAGGCTGGCAGCTGTCTGGGGCTGGGGAGGAGCCCTGCTGCATCCCTCCAAGCCCTCCACGTTCCCACACTGGTGGTGTGGCTGCCTGCTCAGGGCCCGGCTCCTCCGCCATGGAGGAGGTGGTGGCGGCAGATGGCACAGCCGGGGACAACAACTCCTTGTCGGTCTCACTGGAGCTGGGCTCTGCAGTGGCCGGCATGTCTGGGCTGGGTCCTGAGGGTTTCTCCTCCTGGTGGAAGGAAGAGGCAGAGATAACCCTTCTGGGCTCTGGGTCAACCCAGTCAGCCCCCATCCTAAGGAATCACCAGCAGGAGAGGATAGGGGAATACGTAAGGTTGGACTAAGCTCCTTTTTCCTTTTTATAAAGATGGGGGTTTCGCCATGTCCCCCTCGCTGGTCTTGAACCCTTGGTCTTAAGTGATCCTCCTGCCTCAGCGTCCCAAAGTGCTGGGATTAAAGGCGTCAGCCACTGCACTGGCCCAGATTGAGCTTCTTATGTACATGGGAGAAGCATCTCCTCAACTAGGATAAGTGGGAGCCCCAGTATGCGACACAAGCGTGGCCTACAGGGAGTGGGCGGGGCCAAGAATACGGAGGCGGGGCTATGGGCAGGGAGCGACTGGGAAGATGCTAGAGGAGCTACACACGGATTGTCTGAGGACCGAGAAACACTGGCCAGCTGCGAGCCGTGTGGACAATCTTGGAGGTGCTAGGAACCCGCATGTAATAAGTTTTGGGGCGGAGTCCTAGCCTGGTGGGCGTGGTCCATTCCGGGCCCGGCCCGGAAGTAGGGCGCTCTCCGAGTGACAGCCAGCGGCAGACGGGTGCCCGGATGTGGGGGCTGGGTCGGCCGGAGGATGTATGCGCGACAGGGCCGCTTCCCGCCACTCCCCGCCGCTCCGCCGCGCCCGTGACCCCGGTGCCGCGCTCACCATCTTCGACACGGCTCGGCCTCTTGTTCCTGCGGCTTCGGCGGCTCCAGCTTAGGCGGCGGCCACCCTCTGGGCAATGCGAGCTCGCGCTCACGTCAGCGCCATTTTCCGTCTCTCGGCTCTCGCGAGGTTGGAGGCGGGGCCTGCGCAAGGCGTTCGGATAGGGGGCGGGGCCTGAGGGCAGAGTGAACGTGGAGTGCAACTTGGACGCTGTTGGAGTCTTGCTATCCCAGGGTAATCAGAGCGCACTTCAGGCGACTCCGTGAACAGAGGTCCGGGTTCAAAATGGGCACCTTCATCCCCTCTAGTCTTGTCCCAACATCAGCCCTGGACAGGCGATAAACAGCAGTTCTTATTTTATTTATTTATTTATTTTTTGAGACGGAGTTTCGCTCTTGCTGCCCAGGCTGGAGTGTAATGGCACGATCTCGGCTCACTGCAACCTCCGCTTCCCGGGCTCAAGCGATTCTCCTGCCTCAGCCTCCCAAGTGGCTGGGATTACAGGCGCCTACCACCACGTCTGGCTAATATTTTGTATTTTTAGTAGAGACGGGGTTTCACCATGTTGTCCAGGCTGGTCGTGAATTCCTGACCTCAGGTGATCTGCCCGCCTCGGCCTCCCAAAGTACTGGGATTACAGGCGTGAGCCACCGCGCCCGGCCAGTTCTTCTTTATTTTTTATAGTGTTGAGACAGGGTCTTGCACTGTCGCCCAGACTGGAGCGCAGTGATGCGATCATAGCTTGCTACAGCCTTGACCTCCTGGGCTCAGCCGATCCTCCCATCTCAGCCTCCCGAGTAGCTGGGATTACTGGCGTGCGCCACCGTGCCTAGCTACTTATTACATTCTTTTTAGAGGCAGGATCTCTCTGTGTTGCCCAGGCCGGTCCTGGGCTCAAACGATCCTCCCGCCTCGGCCTCCCAAGTGTTAGGATTGCAGGCGTGAGCCACCTCGCCTCCCCTTTCACTCACATTTTAAAATGGGTAAACAGCATCGCTTGAGCCAGGGAGGTCGAGGCTGCAGTGAGCGTGATGGCACCACTGCACTCCTGCCTGGTCGAAAAAGCAAGACCCCATCTCTAAAAGTGAAATAAAAATAAATTAAAATGGGGAAATAGTAAATCAACAAGTGCAAAAACAATCTTTTGTCCTATTCAGTGCAATGAAGGAAACAATGAAATGTGGAAGTGATGGGTCAGGGAAGCCACTCTGAGGAGGTGACTTCGGAGCTGTCTCCAGATGATCAAGGAGTGAGCTGGTGGAAAGCCCGAGGAGCGGGGGCTTTACCGGATAGCTGGTGCAGATGTCCTGGAGTGGGGTGGGACGGGCTTATTTTGGTCAAAGAGCAGCGAGGAGATGAGAGCACCACTGGAGTAGAGTGGAGCGGGGGTATGGAGGTCAGAAAGTGAATATGGTGCACGGCAGGTCATGCAGGGCCATGGGAGTGGTGCAGAGAGAGGAGTGTGGTTTCTGTTGTAACCACTGATGAATTTTTAGCAGGGGGAGGCGCATCATCTGATTCCTGGCAGTCACTTGGAGGAGGATGGGCTGTTGAGAGGGTAGTAAGGTAGACCTAACATCTTAGATCTCTATGATACATCATGCTGCCATTCAAGAGGTGTTTGCTGAGTTCTAGGCAACTGTAGGTTTTTTGTTTGTTTGTTTGTTTTGACGAAGTCTGGCACTGTCACCCAGGCTGGAGTGCAGTGGCGCGATCTCGGCTCACTGCAACCTCTGCCCCCCGGGGTTCAAGCGATTCTCCTGCCTCAGCCTCCTGAGTAGCTGGGATTACAGGCATGTGCCACCATGCCCGGCTAATTTTGTATTTTTAGTAGAGACGGGTTTCTCCATGTTGGTCAGGCTGGTCTCAAACTCCCAACCTCAGGTGATCCGCCCACCTCAGCCTCCCAAAGTGTTGGGATTACAGGCATGAGCCACTGCACCTGGCCATAACTGTAGGTTTTATGTGCAATGTATTTCCATCTGTAAAGCAAATTGTACTTAAATGCACTTTGTTTTTTTTTTTTTTTGAGACCGAGTCTTACTTTGTCCCCCAGGACGCTTTGCAGTGGCATGATATTGGATCATTGCAACCTCCGCCTCCTGGGTTCAAGCAATTCTCTTGCTTCAGCCTCCCAAGTAGCTGGGACTACAGGCTTGCGCCACCACGCTCGGCTAATTTTTGTTTGTATTTGTAGTAGAGACAGGGTTTTGCCATGTTGGCTAGGCTAGTCTTGAACTCCTGGCCTCAGCAATCCATCTGCCTTGGGCTTACAAAGTACTGGGATTACAGGCATGAGCCACTGCATCCGGCTTTTTTGTTTGTTTGTTTGTTTGTTTGTTTGTTTGAGACACAGTCACACTCTGTTGCTCAGGCTGGAGTGCAGTGATGTGATCACAGCTCAGTGCAGCCTCAACCTCCCTGGGCTCAAGTGATCTTCCTACCTCAGCCTCCCTAGTAGCTGGTACTAAAGGTATGTGCTACCACACCCAGCTAATTTTTATATTTTTTGTAGAGATGGGGTTTTGTCACGTTGCCCAGGATGGTCTAGAACTTCTGGGCTCAAGTGATCTACCTGCGTCAGCCTCCCAAAGTGTTGGGATTTCAGGTATGAGCTACTGTATCCAGCCCCCTATGGGCTTTTATATGCAGAGAATACCTTTAGGAGATATTTAAAAACTAGGGAGAGGAACAGGGATGTTTGAGTGGGAGAGAGATTGAGTTTTCACTTTTGTGATTTTTAATTAAAAAAGTTTTTTTTGGGCCGGGCGCGGTGGCTCAAGCCTGTAATCGCAGCACTTTGGGAGGCCGAAACGGGTGGATCACAAGGTCAGGAGATCGAGACCATCCTGGCTAACATGGTGAAACCCCGTCTCTACTAAAAAATACAAAAAACTAGCCGGGCAAGGTGGTGGGCGCCTGTAGTCCCAGCTACTCGGGAGGCTGAGGCAGGAGAATGGTGTGAACCCGGAAGGTGGAGCTTGCAGTGAGCTGAGATCCGGCCACAGCACTCCAGCCTGGGCCAAAGAGCGAGACTCCGTCTCAAAAAAAAAAAAAAAATTTTTCTGTTCAGGCGTGGTGTCTCAAGCCTGCAATCCCAGCACTTTGGGAGGCTGAGGTGGGAGGATCGCTTGAGACCAGAATTTAGAGGCTGCAGTGAGCTGTGTTCATGCCACTGTACTCCTTCCTGGGCAACAGAGCAAGACCATGTCTCTAAGAAAATAAAACAAAAGGCCAGGCATGGTGGCTTACGCCTGTAATCCCAGCACTTTGGGAGTCTTAGGCGGGTGGATTACGAGGTCAGGAGTTCGAGAACAGCCTGACCAACATGGTGAAACCCCATCTCTACTAAAAATACAAAAATTAGCCGGGCATGGTGGCGCCTTCGTGTAATCCTAGCTACTCGGGAGGCTGAGGCAGGAGAATCGCTTGAACCTGGGAGGCAGAGGTTGTGGTGAGCCAAGATTGCGCCACTGCACTCCAGCCTGGGTGACAGAGCGAGACTCCATCTCAAAAATAAATACATACATACATATAAGAGTAAAACAAAAATAAACAAATTAAAATTTTTTCTTTTAATTATTCAGTTAAAAACTCATTTGCTTTAAAAAACAAAGATCATTTTAATGTAGGGTGAGGAAGTGTGTGTGTGTGTGTGTGTGTGCAGGGGAGGGTAGTGCAATCTGGCGAAGGATGGGGTGAGGCAGCAGAAGACAGAGGGACCCAAGGAAGGAAGGGAGAGGAGGGACCGGACTTAAGAAATTTTGTAAAAGAGTCAACAGGATGTGGGGTGAGCAGCAGGCAGGGCAGACATGACTGAGGTCTGCAGTCTGAAGATGCCTGTAACCTAGATAGGAGATGATATCTGTTATGCATATGCTAAACCTTTAAGATAATGGCCCATGAGGCCGTGCACAGTGGCTCACACCTGTAATCACAGCACTTTGGGAGGGTGATGCGGGATCATGATTTGAGTCCAGGAATCCAAGGCTGCAGGGAGCTATGATCATACCACTGCATTCCAGTCTGGGGCAACAGAGTGAAACCCTGTCTCAAAACAACAGCAACAAGAATCAGATGCTGGAGTGCAGTGGTGCGTGCCTGTAATCTCAGATACTGGGGGAGGGCTGAAGTGGGAGGATTGCAGGAGCCCAGGTGGTCGAGACCAGCCTGAGCAACACAGTGAGACCCCATCTTCAAAAATCTTCAAATAAAAAAAAAAAAAAAAGGAAATTCAGAGATGGAGAGCACCAGGGTCATTCGAGGGATTGCTAAATACTTTTGTGTCATCATTGAGCAATAAAATGGCCCTTGAGACCCAGTTGCAGCCTTGAGGATTTTTTCCAGCCATGCTCAGCTTCCCAAGACAGGCACAGAAGGGAGAATAGATTCTGCAGAAGGCTCTCCTGGCCAGTCTTGCTGTGTGTGTGTGTGTGTGTGTGTGTGTGTGTGTGTGTCTTGTTCTGTCACCCAGACGAGTGCAGTGGCACAACTTCGGCTCACTGCAGAAGGCTCTCCTGGCCAGTCTTGCTGTGTGTGTGTGTGTGTGTGTGTGTGTGTGTGTGTGTGTCTTGTTCTGTCACCCAGACGAGTGCAGTGGCACAACTTCGGCTCACTGCAACTTCCACCTCCTGGGCTCAAACGATTCTCCTGCCTCAGCCTCCAGAGTAGCTGGGACTATAGTCGTGCGCATCACGCCCAGCTAATTTTTGTATTTTTAGTAGAGATGGGGTTTCACCATGTGGGTCAGGCTGGTCTCGAACTCCTTATTTCAAGTGATCTGCCCGCCTCAGCCTCCCAAAGCCCTGGGATTACAGGCGTGAGCCACTGTGCCCGGCCGCTAGTCTTGCTTTGATTCCTGGCTGTACTGGGGATTCCCGATGCCCCATTCTCCAGTTGGGTCTTCTGTGCCTGAAGTTTGCTCATCACAGCTTAAATCACTCTGTGCAGTGCTTGTCAACCAAATCCGCTGAGACCGACCCTCTCCCACCTTCCTGACTCCTGCTGCAATGCCCATTCCACCTCTGAATTCCCCTCTTCTGTGGGCCAGTCCTGACCTCACCAGTCGGCCCCATCTCTATGGGGCTGGCTTCTCTTTGAGGGGCTGAGTGCGGAGTGAGTGTCCATATATTTAATAATAATTTAGAAAGCTAGAATCTAGAAAGCTAGAATTATTATTATTATTATTATTATTATTATTTATTAGAGAGACAGGGTTTAGCTGTGTTGCCCAGGCTGGAGTACAATGTTGCAATTACAGCTCACTGCAGCCTGGACCTACTGGGCTCAAGTGATCCTCCCACCTCAGCCTCCTGAGTATCTGGGAATACAGGCATGCACCACGACACTAGCTTTTTTTTTTTTTTTTTTTGAGACGGAGTCTCGCTCTGTCGCCCAGGCTGGAGTGCAGTGGCGCGATCTCGGCTCACTGCAAGCTCTGCCTCCTGGGTTCACGCCATTCTCCTGCCTCAGCCTCCCAAGTAGCTGGGACTACAGGCGCCCACAACCGCGCCCGGCTAATTTTTTGTATTTTTAGTAGAGACGGGGTTTCACCGTGGTCTCGATCTCCTGACCTTGTGATCCGCCCGCCTCAGCCTCCCAAAGTGCTGGGATTACAGGCGTGAGCCACCGCGCCCGGCCTAGCTTTTTTTTTTTTTTGAGATGGAGTCTCACTCTGTCACCCAGGCTGGAGTGCAGTGGCGTGATCTCAGCTCACTGCTGCAACCTCCGCCTCCCAGGTTCAAGCAATTATCCTGCCTCAGCCTCCTAAGTAGCTGGGACCACAGGTGTGCACCACCATGCCCAGCTAATTTTTTTGTAGTTTTAGCAGAGATGGGGTTTCACCTTGTTAGCCAGGATGGTCTCGAACTCCTGACCTCGTGATCTGCCTACCTTGGCCTCCCAAAGTGCTGGGATTACAGGCATGAGTCACTGCGCCCAGCCAATTTTAAAATTTTTTTGTAGTGACAGGGTATTAGTAGGTTGCCTAGGGTGGTCAAACCTTAAGTGATCCTCCTGCCTTGGCCTCCCAAAGTGCTGTGGGATTACACAGCTGTGAGGTACCATGCTTGGCCAGGATTTGATTTATTTTAGTATTAGAGATGGTGTTGCTGGGTTGCCCAGGCTGCAGCGCAGTGACATGATTATAGCTAACTTCAGCCTTGAACTCCTGAGATCAGGTGATCCTCCAGCCTTGGCCTCACAAAGTGCTGGGACTACAGGCATGCACAACCACTCCCAAAATTCAGGAATTTTTTTTTTTTTTTTAAAGACAGAGTCTTACTCTATTGCTCAGGCTGGAGTTCCATGGTGCAATCTTGGCTCACTGCAACCTCCACCTCCTGCCTCAGCCTCTCAAGTATCTGGAACTACAGGTGCGTTCCACCACGCCCAGCTAATTTTAGTATGTTCAGTAGAGACAGGGTTTCACCATGTTGGCCAGGCTGGTCTTGAACTCCTGAGCTCGGATGATCCGCCCGCCTTGGCCTCCCAAAGTGCTGGGATTACAGGCATGAGCCTCCCAAAGTGCTGGGATTACAGGCATGAGCCACTGCACCCAGCCCAAATTTCAGGATGTTTAGGCTCAGACCATAGCAGGACTCCCAGTAGGTTCCAACTGCCCTTGCAGGGAGCCCTAGAATGCTGAGACTCCAGCAGGAAATGAGGGCTCTTAAACGTCAGAACTAGTCTTGACCCCAGTTGGGTGAAGACTAAAGAGGGCACAGACATAGGATTGGTGGGCAGGGGGCAGGAGTGACCCAGAGTGCATTGAGGGTGGGAGCATGTGGGACCTGCCTCTCTCCACAGGTCCCGGATGGGTTTGGTGGCTGTAGCTTCAAGACTAACAGGACCTGCTGGACCATTTGGGATACAGTTTCTGGAAGGGAAACTGAGACAAATTCTTTCTTTTCTTTTCTTTCTTTTCTGAGATGGAGTCTTGCTCTGTTGCCCAGGCCGGAATGCAGTGGCGCAATCTCGGCTCACTGCAACCTCCGCCTCCCGGGTTCAAGCGATTCTCCTGCCTCAGCCTTCTGAGTAGCTGGGATCACAGGTGCCCACCACCACACCTGGCTTTTTTTTTTTTTTTTTTTTTTTTTTGTGAGATGGAGTCTCACTCTGTCATCTAGGCTGGAGTGCAATGGCATAATCTTGGCTTACTGCAACCTTCACTCCCGAGTTCAAGCAATTCTCCTGCCTCAGCCTCCTGAGTAGCTGGGATTACAGGTGCCCACCACCACACTCGGATAATTTTTGTATTGTTAGTAGAGACGGGGTTTCATCATGTTGGCCAGGCTGGTCTCGAACTCCTGACCTCATGATCCACCTGCCTTGGCTTCCCAAAGTGCCGGGATTATAGGCGTGAGCCACTGTGCCTGGCCATGACAATTTCTTTTTTTTTTTCCGAGATGGAGTCTGGCTCTGTTGCCCAGGCTGGAGTGCAGTGGCGTGATCTTGGCTCATGGCAACCTCTGCCTCCCGGGTTCAAGCGATTCTCCTGCTTCAGCCTCCTCAGTAGCTGGGATTACAGGCAGGCACCACCACACCCAGCTAATTTTTTTTTTTTTTTTTTTTTTTTTAATTTTTAGTAGAAACAGGATTTTGTCATGTTATCCAAGCTGGTCTTGAACTCCTGATCTCAAGTGATCCATCTGCCTCCACCTCCCAAAGCACTGGGATTACAGGTGTGAGCCACTGCACCCGGCCCAAACTGGGACAAATTCAAGCTTTGTGGCCACATATGAATACAAGGCATGGCTCTGTGCAGTGTTGGGTCAGTGAACCTCTTTGAACCTCCATCGTTCCACCTGTAAGATGGGGTCCTTCTACCTCACAGGGTTGTGAAAACGCTGTTCTTTTTGGGCACGTAGTAAGTTAACTCATGCTTTCACCTGGCAAACATTTATTGCCTTAGTGATGACAGAATGAGCAAAGTCACGCTTGTCAACGACCCCTCCCCCCAACTGTGCCTGGCACTTTGCCAACAGCACAGGACTCAAGACTCATTTCTGAATCACATGGCAGTTGGGAGGTAGATTCTGCTGTTAGTCCCGTTTGACACACGCAGAAGTGGAGAATGGGCAGCGGAGCGGGTGTGATGTTGGGGGAAGATCAGGGCCCAGGGGTAGGGGCTGCAGCAGTGACTCACAGACTCAGGGCCTGGGCAGGACTGGAGGCCAGAGGACTGGACTTTTAGGCCATTGCAGCCCAGGTAAATGAGGCTCTCATTGGCAGGGCCTGGCTCCCCACCAGGCAGGCAGGCAGACAGGCGGGCAAAAGAGAAGGCGGAATCCCAGGGCCCAGCTCAGATCTTCTCCACGTAGTTTCCTGGGAAAAGGCCCTCCTGGCCGTGAAGCCGGCCCTTCCACCAGCCCGAGGAATCTGTGGGAGAGAGGAAAGCTTGAGGTGCCCCTAGCTGGCCCTGGAGAAAGTTCTCATGCCTGCTCCGTCTGTCTTGTTCATGAGGTCTCCCTAATGTTATCCAGGCTGGTCTTGAACTCCTGGGCTTAAGCCATCCTCCTGCCTCAGCCTCCCAAAATGCTGGGAGCCACTGCATCCGGCCATTTCCACTCTTAGAATTTTTTTTTTTTGGTAAATCTTTTGTAGAGATGGGGTCTTGCTAGGTTGCCCAGGCTTGTCTCAAACTCCTGACCTCAAGTGATCCTTCTGCCTCAGCCACCCAAAGTGCTGGGATTACAGGCATGAGCCACCTCACCCGTCTGTTATCTCTGTTCTCCCGTGGGGAGGGTGTACAGTGGTGGGGTCTGCCTGGTGATGTCAGGATTCTTACCGCTCCCCTGACCCCAGCTTCTGCCCTGGTACACACACCTTCCATGAGGATCTCGATGACCTCGTTCACATTGAAGCTCAGCTCGTCCACATCTTGGCCCACATACTGGTACAGCGCCCGGCACCTGGGGCCATGTGTCCGAGGCTGGGGCTTGGGTCGGCCCACACCAGGCACTGGCCGTTGCCCCACACTGCGCTTCCTCTGCATGCTGTGAGCACAGGGGGTTTGAGTCACAGCCCCAGACACTCCCCTACCCCCTGCCCACTTCCTGGGGCTGCCCTCCCACCCCACCTACCCGGCCATGCCCTGGTCAGGCACGTTGAGGAATTCCGTGTTGTGCTCTGAGGGCAGCTGTGCCCGGGGTCGTCTGCTGGCTCCCAGGGATGTGGACGGAGGGCCCCGGGGAGGCCGGTGGGAGCTCCCTCCAGACATGATCTCCAGGGGCAGGGGGCCCCCTCTGGCAGAGGGGGGCACCCCATTGCGATCCATGCCTGTGGCAGGAGCAAGGATGAAGACATGTATTAGGGTGATGCTAGGAGGATTTGAGGAGGACTTGGCTCCAAGTTCCCAGTCTGAGGGAGGAGATTGCCATGCTCTCAACCCAGTGTGGTAAGGATTGGGCCAGACAGAGGGGCTCTGGGGCTAGGAGGGCCTAGACAGAGGCTTTTTTTTTTTTTTTTTGAGATGGAGTTTTGCTCTGTCACCCAGGCTGGAGTGCAGTGGCGCAATCTCGGCTCACTGCAAGCTCCGCCTCCCGGGTTTGTGCCATTCTCCTCCCTCAGCCTCCCGAATAGCTGGGACTACAGGCACCTGCCACCACGCCCAGCTAATTTTTTTGTATTTTTAGTAGAGATGGGGTTTCACCGTGTTTGCCAGGATGGTCTTGATCTCCTGACCTCGTGATCGGCCCACCTCGGCCTCCCAAAGTGCTGGGATTACAGGTGTGAGCCACCGCACCTGGCCAACAGATGCTTTTTTAAGAATTTTAAAATTATTTTTTACTTTTATTTGTTTATTTTGAGACATGGTCTCACTCTTGCCCAGGCTGGAGTGCAGTGGTACAATCATAGCTCACTGCAACTCTGATGTCCTGGGCTCAATCAATCCTCCCTCCTTAGCCTCCTCTTAGGGGCAGCTGGGACTACAGGTATGCTCCACTATGCCCAGTTGATTTTTATAATTTTTAAAGTAGAGATGGGGTCTCACTATGTTGACCAGGCTGGTCTCAAACTCCTGGCCTCAGGCAATCCTCCCACTTCAGCCTCCCAACATGCTGGTTTTATAGGCATGCGCCACTGCACTTGGCCTTATTTATTTTTTATTTGTTTAGAGACAGGTTTTGTTCTGTGGCCCAGGATGGAGTGCAGTGGTGAGATCATAGCTCACTGCAGCCTCCAACTCCAAGGCTCACATGCTATCCTCCCCTCTCAGCCTCCTAAATAGCTGGGACTACAGGCACACACCACCTTGCCCAGCTAATTTAAAAAGAATTTTTAGGTCAGGCACGGTGGCTCAAGTCTGTGATCCTATCACTTTGGGAGGTCAAGGTGGGCAGATCATGAGGTCAGGAGTTCATGACAAGTCTGGCCAACATAGTGAAACTCCATCTCTACTAAAAATACAAAAATTAGCCAGGCATGGTGGTGCACGCCTGTAGTCCCAGCTACTCGGGAGGCTGAGGAGGATAACTGCTTCAACCCGGGAGGTGGAGGTTACAGTGAGCCGAGATCACGCCACTGCACTCCAGCCTGGGCAACAGAGCGAGACTCAGTCTCAAAAGAGAAAAGAAAAGGCCAGGTGCGGTGGCGTAATCCCAGCACTTTGGGAGGCCTAGGTGGGTGGATCACGAGGTCAGGAGTTCAAGACCAGCCTGGCCAACATGGTGAAACCCTGTCCCTACTAAAGATTAAAAAAAAATTAGTTGGGCATGGTGATGCATGCCTGTAATCCCAGCTACTCGGGAGGCTGAGGCAGGAGAATCTCTTGAACACGGAAGGCAGAGGTTGCAGTGCGCTGAGACTGCACCATTGCACTCCAGCCTGGGTGACAGTGCTAGACTCTGTCTCAAAAAAAAAAAAAAAAAAAAAAAAAAGGGGCTGGGCATGGTGGCACATGCCTGTCATCCCAGCTACTCAGGAGGCTGAGGCAGAATTGCTTGAACCCGGGAGGTGGATATTGCAGTGAGCCAAGATCGTGCCACTGCACTCCAGACTGGGTGATAGAGCGAGGCTCTGTCTTGAAAAAAAAAAAAAGAATTTTTAGTAGAGACGGGATCTGGCTATGTTGCCCAGGCTGATCTTGAGCTCAAGTGATCCTCCTGCCTTGAGCCTCCAAGAGTGCTGGGATTACAGGTGTGAGCCACCTGGCCGGGCCAGGAGCAGCTTTGCAGGGGCAAGTTTCCCTCCTCCTCTCCTCTGTAGAAGGGCTTCTGTGGGTAAGTCTTGGTGGATACATAAGAGCTCAACAAATGGAATGGGAATTTGAGAGAGTAGCAGAGAAATGGTCCAAAGGCCTGGAGGTAAGAATAAATTTGGTGGGTTGGGAAAAGAAGATGTAGTTTGAGGCCAGGCACTGTGGCTCACACCTGTTAATCCCAGCACTATGGGAGGCCGAGACGGGTGGATCACCTGAGGTCAGGAGTTCGAGACAAGCCTGGCCAGTGTGGTGAAACCCTGCCTCTACTAAAACGAAACAAAAATTAGCCGGGCGTGGTGGTGGTTGCCTGTAACTCAGCTATTCAGGAGGCTGAGGCAGGAGAATCGCTTGAATCCAGGAGGCTGAGGTTGCAGTGAGCTGAAGATTTTGCCACTGCACTCCAGCCCGGGAGACAAGAGTTGGACTGCGTCTCAAACAAACAAACAAACAAACAAACAAAAAACAAAAAAAGAGGCTGGGCACTGTGGCTCATGCCTGTAATCCCAGCACTTTGGGAGGCCAAGGCGGGAGGCTCACGAGGTCAGGAGATCGAGACCATCCTGGCTAACACGGTGAAACCCTGTCTCTACTAAAAATACAAAAAACTAGCTGGGCATGGTGGTGGGCACCTGTAGTCCCAGCTATTCGGGAGGCTGAGGCAGGAGAATGGCACGAACCCGGGAGGCGGAGCTTGCAGTGAGTCGAGATAGTGCCACTGCACTCCAGCCTGGGCATCAGAGGGAGACTCCATCTCAAAAAACAAACAAACAAACAAACAGATGTAGTTTGCAGGGCAGGAGTGTAGGGTAGGAGGAGAGAAGATGTCAGTGGTTAGCTGGGTTTGGGTTTTGAAGGGCTCTGAATGCCAAACTAAGTTTAGCCTTTATTCTATGGGAGATATGGAGCTATGGAGAGTTCTGGACAGAGAAGTAAGTGGTAAACTGTATTTGTTAGATTTCGTTTGCTTAAGGTCTGGTTTAAGCCATGGGACCCACAAAACACAAGGGAAGACAGCAAGGGACGCAGCTCCTCACCTCTCGGGGGCCCAGGGGCCGCCCGGGTAGGGGCCGCCCGGGTAGGGGCCTGGGACGACCTTCGAGGTCTTCCCTTGGCCATTCCCTTCCGCGTAGGCTCTGAAAGAAGAGTGTCAGGGATTTGAGTGATAGACAACGCTCTTTGCCCCGCCCACAAGTCTAGTCCCTTCTGAGGTTACGCCGCACCCCACCCCCTCAGACTCTCCCATTAGCACCGCCCCTTAGGTACAGGTACATTGGCTCCGCCCACTAATTGGCCTCGCCCCCAAGTGCCCCACACCTCACTGGCCTTGCTTTTTGGGCCCGCCCACTTTAGGACATTCCTTCATCGCTACCGGGTTCCAGGGTTGCCGCTCTGGCCACACCCCTCTACATTTCTCTCCCCCCCATTGGTCATGTCTTCCCCTTAACAGCCTTTCTCTCTCTCTAGACCCGCCCCTTCCTTGCTGTTGCCCACTCTGGTCCATCCTGCCGGCTCTGCCCCACTGTTTTGATTGGTTTCCTCCATGGTCACGTCCCGCCTCCACATTTCACGCCCACTCATTGGTTGCAGCCTTTCTTTAAAAGTCTCTCTCTCTCTCTGACCGGGAGCGGTGGCTCACGCCTGTAATCCCAGCACTTTGGGAAGCCGAGGCGGGTGGATCATGAGGTCAGGAGTTCAAGACCATCCTGGCCAAGATGGTGAAACCCCGTCTCTACTAAAACCACAAAAATTAGCTGGGCGCGGTGGCAGGCGCTTGTAATCCCGGCTACTCGGGAGGCTGAGGCAAGAGAATCACTTGAACCCGGGTGGCGGAGGTTGTGGTGAGCCAAGATCGTGCCACTGCACTCCAGCCTGGGCGACAGAACAGAATGAGACTCCGCCTCAAAAAAAAAAAAAAAACAAAAAAAAAACAAAAAACAGGCCGGGCCGCGCGGTGGCTCAGGCCTGTAATCCCAGCACTTTGGGAGGCCGAGACGGGCGGATCACGAGGTCAGGAGGTCGAGACCATCCTGGCGAACATGGTGAAACCCCGTCTCTACTAAAAAATACAAAAACCTAGCCGGTCGTGGTGGCGGGCACTTGTAGTCCCAGCTACTCGGGAGGCTGAGGCAGGAGAATGGCGTGAACCCGGGAAGCGGAGCTTGCAGTGAGCCGAGATCGCGCCACTGCACTCCAGACTGGGCGACAGAGCGAGACTCCCATCTCAAAAAAAAAAAACCTCAAAAACCTCAAAAAAGTCTCTCTTTCTCTCTCTCTAGACCCTCCCCTTCCTGGCCTTTGTCCACTCTTAACCAGCCTCGCTGGCCCCGCCCTCTCCCCGTCTCTGAAGCCTTCATTGGTCCGCTCTCTTGCCCCGCCTCCTCTGCCGCGCAGACTCACTGGAGCTCTTGGGCAGCCCATCGCCAACGCTGACGGTGAGGGTCCGACCGCCAACCTTGAGCACCGCCAAGTCGCCGGACCCGCGGGAGAAGGTGACGCTGCGGGTGCCGCCACCGCCCCAGCCCTCCTTCTTCACCCGGAACTGTAGTCTGTGGGGAGAGAAGAAAGCTTGGGGGCGCGGGCCGGGGTCCCCCGCCCCATCCCACCCTCGCTGTTCCGGGGCAGGGGCGGGGCCGGGGCCGAGGCGCAGTTCGGCCGGGTAGGTGGAGCGGGAGAGGGTGCTCCGCGCCGAGACCACCCCGAAATGGTGCTGGGGTTGGCGGGGCCGTACGTGTCGCTGAAGGTGAGGGGCAGGGGCCTCCGAGTTGCCTCCTCGAAGCGCTTGCACAGAAGGCTGACGAACTCGGTCTTGAAGACGCTCTCCAGGAAGCTGTCGACGGCGTCCTCTTGGAGGATGAAGAAGTCGTCCTGTCGCGTGCTGGGGAGGGGCGGGTGAGAGGGTCAGGTGGGACACAGGTGAGGGCGACAGGTGAGAGTGACAGGTGAAGGTGGCTGAAGGTGGATTTAGGGAAGGGTCAGTTAAGGGCCAAGTCAGGGGTGACCAGGTAGGAGAAAAAGAGGGATGTGGCAAGGAGTGGAAGAGGTGGTTACAAAAGAGGGCCAGGTGAGGTCTAGTAAGAGGGTAAGGTGCAGGACAGCAGCTTTTGGCACCCAAGGATCGTGAGCGTAGGGGGCAGGTGAACATGACAGGTGGGGTCATGAGAGGGCTACAGGCATGGCACCAGGTAAGATTGTCAGGGTAACAGACGGGGTCACTAGAATGAGGGCAGCCAGGGGACAGGTGCGAGTGACTGTGCGGCAGGTAGGGACCTGGCTTCACCTGAGGGAGACTCCCCGCAGAGCCTGGATGTCCAGCTTCTTCTTCAAGACTTCACGCACTTGGCCTTTCTCGGGTCCCTTCTTCACCTTCTCTCGCCCAATCACATACACACACTTGGGCGTCAGGATCAAGTCCCGCTTGATGGGCTGCGGGGATGCAGGATTAGAGGCCGGTGTCTGCAGCCTGGCCACAGAGGGCCCACCCCAGGTAGAGGAGTGGTGCTGGCAGGTCAGGTGAGGAGGGTAGGATCCCTCCAGGTGAAAGTGTATGAGTCGTCTGTTTGTTTTGTAGACAGGGTCTCACTCTGTAGCCCAGGCTGGAGTGCAGTGGTGCCATCATAACTCACTGCAACCTCCCCCTTCCGGGCTTGAGTGATCCACCAGCCTCAGCCTCCTGAGTAGCTGGGACCACAGGTGCACACCACCATGCCCAGCTAATTTTGGTATTTTTTGTAGAATCAGGGTTTTGCCCTGTTGCCCAGGCTGGTCTTGAACTCCTGAGCTCAAGCAAACTGTCCTCCTTAGCCTCCCAAAGGTTTGAGATTACAGGTGTGCGCCACCACACCTGGCCATGAGTTGTTATATAAGAAACAGAAGGAGGACCAGGCGCCGTGGCTCACGCCTATAATCCCAGCACTTTGGGAGGCCAAGGTGGGCGGATTACGAGGTCAGGAGTTCGAAACCAGGCTGACCAACATGGTGAAACCCTGTTGCTACTAAAAATACAAAAATTAACTGGGCATGGTGGCGGGCACCTGTAGTCCCAGCTACGCAGGAGGCTGAGGCAAGAGAATCGCTTGAACCCAGGAGGTGGAGATTGCAATGAGCTGCGATCCCGCCACTGCACTCCAGCCTGGGTGACAGAGCAAGACTCCATCTCAAAAACAAATAAAACAGATTGGGCACGGTGACACACACCTGTAATCCCAGCACTTTGGGAGGCGAGGGCGGTCGAGACACTGGCACAGAGTCCTCAATACAGGGGACGGGAATCACCACCTGTAATCCCAGCACTTTGGGAGGCTGAGGCGGGCGGATCACGAGTTCAGGAGATCGTGACCATCCTGGCTAACACCATGAAACCCCATCTCTACTAAAAACACAAAAAATTAGCCGGGTGTGGTGGCACGCGCCTGTAGTCCCAGCTACTTGGGAGGCTGAGGCAGGAGAATCGCTTGAGCCCGGGAGGCAGAAGTTGCAGTGACCCGAGGTTGTGCCACTGCACTCCAGCCTGGGTGACAGAACAAGATTCTGACTCATACACACAAAAGAGCAAAACTGTGTCTCAAACAAAAAACCAACCAAACAACAACAAAAACAGAAGGAGGTCAGGTGGGAATGTGTTGGTTGGTTGGTTGGCTAGAAAAGGGTGTTTGGGTCAGTGAACAGGTGCTGGGTAGGTAAGGCAGCTGCTGGACATCGATGCCCAGCCCAGATGACAGCGCTTAGACCAGGCGAAAGTGCTTGGGCCATGTGACTGTAGCCAGCTCAGGTGAAGGTATTATGGTTCAGGTGAGGGTGTACAGGTCAGGTAAATAGGAGTATCTGGATCATGAGAGGAAGTGAGCAGGTGCGTATCTGAACTCTTATGAGTTTGTACAGGAAGGCAGGTGAATGTGCAAGCCGGTTGAGCTGGCCTGCGCTCAGAGTTCTCTGGGTCTAGTGGGGATACCTGTCTCGGTGAAAACATTTCAGGTGATGGTATACAGGTCACCTGAGAGGGCATACCTGCCACATAGACCTGTCCAAAGCAGGTGTGTGGATCAGGTAAGACACCCAACACTGTATGTCATACTTGCCACATAGACCTGTCCAAAGCAGGTGTGTGGATCAAGTGAAGACACCCAACACTGTATGCATTGTATGTGAGGTTGTACAGATCATGTGAGGAGGCGTCTGCCACATAAAACTTGTCCAAGGTAGGTGAGGGTGTCCAGGCCGTATGAGAATATCCATCCAGGTAAAGATGGTATATAGGTTATCTCAGTGTGTACCTGCCACACATAGCCTGTCTAAGGTGGGTAGGGTGAGTTACTGGGCTAGGTGACTCTCTGGAACATGAGATGTGGGTGAAGTGAGTGTGTACCTGGCCTGCCCAGGTACAGGTGAGAGTAAACAGGCCAAGTCTGGGTGTACTTCTGGACAAGAGAGTCCAGGCTAGGTGATTAGAGTACACCTAGGTTTAGGGCTGTCTGGGGCAGAAGAGGATGTGTCTGTTGGTGGAGGTGCCCAGCTGTCTATGCCAAGCATGAGTGCACCGGTCAGGTGGTGTATCTCTGTAGACAGCACGTACCTATGGACTAGGCTCCCTGGGCCAGGCGAGAGTGCACCTGTGGACAGGTGTATCTGGGCCAGGTGAAGGTATATCTAATTTCTAGGTTGAAGGGAGAGTGTACCTAGTGGATGGGCGTGTCTAGGATAGGCAAGGGTGGCCCCGTGGTTGGGGTTTCTGGACAAGGTGAATGATTGTGAGATTGTGGAGAGATGCATCTGGCCAGGGGTGTATCTGATAGGTGTGTCTGGGCTACAAGTGCATGTTTGGTGGACAGCTGTGTCTGCCGTACTTGAGTGTATACCTGTGGGCAGGTGTGCCTGGGCTAGGTGAGGATGTTCCTGTGATGGAACAGGTGGATCTAGGCTGGGGAACAGATACCTGTGGGCAGGTGTGTCTATGCCAGATGAGGGTATACTTGTGATGGAACAGATGGATCTAGTCTGTGGGATCTAAGCCTGTGGGCAGGTGGATCTGGGCCAGGTGAGGGTGCCAGGCTGTAGCCAGGGTCTTGCCGTCCGACCCACTAGTGCCTCACCTTGAAGCGGCGGTCGTACTTGGTGACTGAGTCGGCGAAGTCCACCCGCTCCCTCTTGCCCAGGAACTGACGCAGCTCGGGCCGCTCCTCCAGCCCCAGGTAGTCCCCGACGAAGTTCCGGTTGATGCTGTTGCGCCTCCGCTCCTTCTTGTTCAGCAGGATGTTGGAAGCTGCGGAGATAGAGGGTGGAGGGCAGAGCTCCTGACGCGGCTCCTCCAGGTCCTTGCGCCCCCACTCTGCGCTGTGTACCCAAAGCCTCTCACCTTCCTCCCGCATCTCCTCATACTTCCGGACAGCCACGTGGCGCCGCCAGGCCTTCTGGATGGTTCGGGCAAAGCCGTCGAACTTTCGCTCTCGCACCTCCTCCAGGAGGAAAAGCTGGGCGGGCGTCGGGGGGGCAAGGGTGAATCCTGGTGTCTCCCCAGGGCCTGCAGTTCCGGGTTTTCCCTGGGTTTGCCCTACTCACACGCTTTTGCTCACCCACCCCCACACACGTGCTAATTTTTTTTTTTAAGAGGGGGGATCTTTGTAGTGACACTTAATGAAAAAGAAAAGAAGAAAAAGGGGCCGGGTGCAGTGGCTCATCATGCCTGTAGTCCTAGCACTTCGGGAGGCCAAGGCGGGTGGATCACCTGAGGTCAGGAGTTGGAGAGGAGTCTGACCAACATGGTGAAACCCCATCTCTACTAAAAATGCAAAAAGAAATTAACTGGGCGTGGTGGTAGACGCCTGTAATCCCAGCTACTCAGAAGCCTGAGGCAGGAGAATCACTTCAACCCGGGGGGCGGAGGTTGCAGTGAGCTGAAATCACGCCATTGCACCCCAGCCTGGGCACCAAGAGCGAAACTCCATCTCAAAAAAAAACGAAACAAAAAACCAAAGCAAAAACAAACTGGTGACTCACGCCTATAATCCCAGCACTTTGGGAGGCTGAGGTGAGAGGATCACCTGAGGTCAGGAGTTTGAGATCAGCCTGATAAACATGGAGAAACCCCATCTCTACTAAAAATACTAAATTAGCCGGGCATGGTGGCGCATGCCTGTAAACCCAGCTACTCAGGAGGCTGAGGCAGGAGAATCACTTGAACCCGGGAGGTGGAGGTTGCAGTGAGCTGAGATCGTGCCATTGCACTCCAGCCTGGGCAACAAGAGCAAAACTTCATCTCAAAAAAAGAAAATAAAAGACAGGGTCTCACCCTGTCGTCCAGACTGGAGTGTAGTGGGGCAGTCACAGCTCACTGCAGCTTCAACCTCTTGGGTTCAAGTGATCCTTCCACCTCTGCCTCCTGAGTAGCTGGGACTACAGCTGTGAGCCACCATGCCCAGCTAATTTTGTAGTGATGTGGTCTTGCCACGTTGCCCAGGCTGGCAAAATTTTTTATCTTCCTCCAAATGACTGGACCTCTCCGCGGGTCTCTCCCCATGTGGGGTACACACTTCTGCATTACATGATGACAGTGAGTCACTAGCTTCAGATCACAGCTGTGCCATTTACTACCTGTGTGCTCTTGCCAGAAACAGTATAACATCATGGTTTCTCACACTGTTACTATAGATAGTGTACACCATCTTTGAGGTACACCCCCGTGTCAGAGATGGTAAAAATAGGAACCAGTGTGCATCTTGGAAAACCAATAAAATACAGTAAATATGAAAATCTGGCCAGGCGCAGTGGCTCACGCCTGTAATCCCAGCACTTTGGGAGGCCGAGGTGGGCGGATCACCTGAGGTCAAGAGTTTGAGACCAGCCTGGCCAACATGGTGAAACCCCCTCTCTACTAGTAATGTAAAAATGAGCCAGCTGTGCTGGCACATGCCTGTCATCCCAGCTACTTGGGAGGCTGAGGCAGGAGAATCACTTGAACCTGGGAGGTGGCGGTTACAGTGAGCGGAGATTGTGCCACTGCATTCCAGCCTGGGCAACAGAGCGAGACTCAGTCCCCCGCTCCTCCACCCCCCAGTAAAAGGAAAGAATGAAACTCCATCTGAAAAAAAAAAAAAGGAAAATCTGATTTGTAGGACTGTGATGTGACTGGCAACTGTGGTTGGGCAGTGTACAACCTGCACAACCATCTGTGGCAGGCCCAGAAAGGAAGCTTTTGCAGAAAGCAGAGAAAAGGTTTTGTGTTGTAAGAGTCTAGGCCCAGAGGGGACTTAGAGAATGAGTTACATTACAGCAAGTGAACGTGCAAACTCTGAGAGGAATGTCTACTCATTTGGAATAATAGCAGGTGAACAAGGTGAGGAACCCACTGGATATTAAAATGCTGTAAATCTATAGTAATAAAAACAGTAGCATGCCTGTCAGAGAATAGAACGATTAACTGGAATAGGGCAGATGCTTGAGAAACATCCTAATTCAAAGAGAAACTGTGATCAAAGGGACAATATTGCCAATTAGTGAAGATGGGAAATAATGCAAATATAGGCCGGGTGTGAAGGCTCATGCCTGTAATCCCAACACTTTTGGAGGCTAAGATGGGAGCGTTGTTGAGCCCAGGAGTTCAAGACCAGCCTGGGCAACATAGAAAGAACCCGTGTGTACAAAAAATAAACAAAAATTAGCCAAGGGTGGTGGCATGCATATGTAGTCCCAGCTACTCCGGAGGCTGAGGTGGGAGGATTGTTTGAGCCCAGGAGGTTGAGGCTGCTGGGAGCTGTGATGGTGCCACTGCACTTCAGCCTGAGAGACAGAGTGAGACCCTGTCTCAGGAAAGAAACAAAAAATCTATATATCTATATCTATACACACATATATACACACACATACACACACACACACACACACAATTGGGCTTTAGGAAAATTAGCACTTCACCCAGAGTGCTTTCACAAGTCCATAGATAGCACATTGCTGCTAAGAGCCTTGCTGCCCGCTCTGCTGACCAAAGTCGTTTTCATTTTTTAGAGACAGGGTCTCTGTTGCCCAGGCTGGAGTGCAGTGGTGTGATCTTGGCTCTCGGCCTCTAGGGAACCTCCCACCTCAGCGGCTCAAGTAGCTGGGACTAAAAGGCACACGCCACCATGCCTGGCTTTGTATTTTTATTTATTTATTTTTTTTGGTAGAGATGGGGTTTTGCCATGTTGCCCAGGCTGGTCTGGAACTCCTGGGCTCAAGCAGTGCACCAGCCTTGACCTCCCAAAGTGCTGGGATTACAGGCGTGAGCCAGCGTGCCCAGCTTCAGATTCTTCTTTGTCTCCTCCACCCCCTCCGCTTCCCCCTCCTCCTCCTCCTCCTTCTCCTTCTTTTTTTTTTTTTTTTTTTGAGATGGAGTCTTGCTCTGTTGCCCAGACTGGAGTGCAGTGGCGTGATCTTGGCTCACTGCAAGTTCCGTCTCCTGGGTTCACGCCATTCTCCTGCCTCAGCCTCCCGAGTAACTGGGACTACAGGCGCCCGCCACCACGCCTGGCTAATTTTTTTGTATTTTTTTAGTAGAGACGGGTTTCATCGTGTTAGCCAGGATGGTCTCAATCTCCTGACCTCATGATCTGCCCACCTTGGCCTCCCAAAGTGCTGGGATTACAGGCATGAGCCAGCATGCCCAGCCTCAGATTCTTCTTTAAAGCCTTTAGAGAGTATGGCCATCCCAGCACCTTGATTTTGGACTTCTGACCTGCAGAACTGTGAGAGAATAAATTGCTGTTGTGTTAAGCCATGGAGTTTGTGGTACTTTGTTTCAGCCGTCCCAGCAAACTATTGTAATATACTTAGGATGCTGGGCCACAAAGGCCAACAGCCAGATAAAATGTTTGAGGATGGCCCAAATCATGTTCATAAGAAAATAAAAATAGGGGCCGGACGCAGTGGCTCATGCCTATAATCTCAGCACTTTGGTAGGCTGAGGTGGGTGGATCACTTGAGGTCAGGAGACCAGCCTGGCCAACACGGTGAAAACCCATCTCTACTAAAAACACAAAAATTAGCCGGGTATGATGGCAGGCGCCTGTAATCCCAGCTACTTGGGAGGCTGAGGCAGGAGAATTGCTTGAACCAGGAAGGTGGAGGTTGCAGTGAGCCAAGATCGCACCATTCCACTTTAGCCTGGGTGGCAGAGTGAGACTGTCTAAACAAACAAAAAAAAAGATCCCAACATAAAATACGTTTTTGGTTGAGAAAGGCTCCAACTCCATGAAACTAATTTAATTTCTTGATTACTTTTTAAATGTAGCACAGTTAAACTGTTGGCTATTTTTCTTCTATTTTCCCTTTCTTTTCTTTCTTTTTTTTCTCGGAGTCTCACTTTGTCCCCCAGGCTGGAGTGCAGTGGCGTGATCTTAGCTCACTGCAACCTCTGCCTCCCAGGTTTGAGCAATTCTGCCTTAGCCTCCCAGGTAGCTGGGATTACAGGCATGTTACCATGCCCGGCTTATTTTGTATTTTTAGTAGAGACGGTGTTTCCCCATGTTGAGCAGGCTGGTCTCAAACTCCTAACCTCAGGTGATCCACCACCTTGGCCTCCCAAAGTGCTGGGATTACAGTTGTGAGCCACCGTACCTGGCCTTTTCTTCTATTTTCATTTTACTAAATTTTTTACTTTTTTTGATATAGGAGTCTCACTCTGTTGCCCAGACTAGAGTGTAGTGGTGTGATCTCGGCTCACTGCAACCTCTGCCTCCTGGGTTCAAGTGATTCTCCTGCCTCAGGCTCCTGAGTTGCTGGGATTACAGGTGCGCACCACTACACTCGGCTAATTTTTTGTATTTGTAGTAGAGACGGGGTTTCGCCATGTTGATCAGGCTGGTCTTGAACTCCTGACCTTGTGATCCACCTGCCTTGGCTTCCCAAAGTGTTGAGATTACAGGTGTGAGCCACCGCGCCTGGCTTATTTTACTAAAATTAAACTACTGTTGACCAGGCTAGAGTGCAGTGGCATGATCTTGGCTCGCTGCAACTTCCGCTTCCTGGGTTAAAGTGATTCTTCTGCTCAGCCTCCTGAGTAGCTGGGATTACAGGTGTGCACCACCACACCTGGCTAATTTTTGTAATTTTAATAGAGAAGGGGTTTCACCATGTTGGCCACGCTGGTCTCGAACTCCTGACCTCAAATGATCCACCTGCCTCAGCCTCCCAAATAGCTGGGATTACAGGTGTGAGCCACTGCGCCTGGCCAGTAAAATTATTTTCATCAGGATCATTTTCTTTCTTTTATAAATATTCAGTCTGTCTTTGTTGCTGATGATCTTATAAGATTTTACCACTAAACATCTGCCGTTGTGAATTTCCTTATTTCTACCCTGTCCGTCTTCTCCAAATCTAAATCTATAGACTGAAATTTTTGTCTAAATTAAATTTTACTTTATATAGTCTTTGCTGGTGATAGTTATTTTTCTTTTTTCCTTTTTCTTTTTGTCTTTTGTAGAGCCAGGGTCTCACTGTGTTTCCCAGGCTGATCGTGAACTCCTGACTTCAAACCATCCTCCTGCCTCAGCCTCCCAAAGCACTGATATTATAGGCATGAACTACCACAACTGACCTGGTGCTAGTTTTTTTTTTGTTGCCTTTTTTCTGTTCTATGTCAAATTTTTTGGTCTGTTTCTTCCAGAGTGTCTCTCTTGGTCTCTTTATCTCAATCTCTCAATCGCAGTCTTTCTTTTTTTTTTTTTGAGACGGAGTCTCGCTCTTTCGCCCAGGCTGGAGTGCAGTGGCGCAATCTCAGCTCACTGCAAGCTCCACCTCCTGGGTTCACGCCATTCTCCTGCCTCAGCCTCCCGAGTAGCTGGGACCACAGGTGCCTACCACCACGCCCAGCTAAATATTTTTTTGTCTTTTTAGTAGAGACGGAGTTTCACCGTGTTAGCCAGGATGGTCTCGATTTCCTGACCTCGTGATCCGCCTGCCTTGGCCTCCCAAAGTGCCGGGATTACAGGCGTGAGCCACCGTGCCTGGTGATCGCAGTCTTTCTTAATCTCTCGCTTGGTCTCTTACTTTCAGTCTATTAATCTCCCATTGCTTTCTCAATTTCTCTCTCAATCTTTCTCTCAATTTCTCTGTCAATCTCTCTCTCTCAATCTGTTTCTCAATCTCTCAATCTTTCTCTCAATCTCTGTCTCCCTCCAACTCTCTCTCCCTGTCTCTCTTCAGTCCCTCTCTATACCTTTCTCTCTGTTCCGCTCTCCCTCCTTCTCTGCCTGTCCCTCAAACACTCACCGACTCTGGGTTCTTGACAAAGACCTTAGTGCTCCCCATCTGGTACTGGTCGGGCTCCATGTTGACCGCCCGAAGCAGATGCTGGACGCCCTGGCGTTCGTCCCCACGCCACCGCGGCCACGTCTCAGGGGTCAGAATGGCATACCTGGGGGCGGAGGGCTGGGGTGTGGAAGTGCTCGTAACAGACAGGCCCGGCCGGGCGTTCTGATGGGGGCGATGGTGAGGGCGGGAGTGGGGGGGCTCCTCACCTCTGCAGGAACTTGGCGAACTGGCGGCGGTAGGCGAAGCCGGCTCTGCGCACCCTGATGTTCTCCTTCAGGCCCAGGTATTCTACCTGGTGCTTGACCCTGGTGGGGAGGGTAGGCTGAGTCCCCTCGGGGTGGGGAGTCACCAGTCCTGGGGGTGGGTGGGAGGTGCTGGAGTTGGGGGGTCTGAGGGGGATCTGGATTCATGCTGAGGGAAGTTTGGGGGTGAGTTCTGTGGTCTGGGGGTGCTTCAGGGCTCAGCCTGGGGACTGGGGGGAGGGATCTTGTCCTGACGGTCCCTTCTGGGGTCAGTTCCACAGGTGGGGGATGGCGGGAGGGGTTGTGCTAGTCCCTGGGTCATCCTACAGGAGGTCAGGGAGGTGTGTAGGTCAGTTCTAGGGGTAACCACAGGGCCTGGAGGGGATGAATCTTGGATTGGTTGGGGGGTGTCACCTGTTCTCCTCCCAGTCTCGGGGCCTCTTGGTCTCGTTGGGTTTGATGCAGCGGATGTAGTGGGGTGTGCACCTCATCAGCGTGGCCACCAGGTCATTGGCTTGTTTCTGAGGCAGAAGCGAAGGCAGGGGTGGGTGGAGAGCACAGAGATGGGACCCTCTGACCCCTCTCTTTTCTCCACCCTGGATATAGTCCCAAGAGACAGAGACTGGAGGTGGGTGAGGGCTGGTAATAGAGAAGCCACAGGGGCCAGATGTCCCTGGTCTGTGTGCACCTCCACTAGTGCGCACCGCATTAGTGGGACTGATGCGGGGTGTCTGCCTGACCCTCGAATCCAAGACGAGGAGCTCTCACATCTACCGCACTCACCACTTAGCTTGGCATATAGTAAGTGCTCAGTAAATGTTTGTTGACTGAGTAACAGAGCCCTTAAGAGCATTTCTTTTTGTCCTTTGAGGAGATAGGTACATTGGGTGTTTTTTTTTTTTTTTTTTTTTGAGTTGGAGTTTTCCTCTGTCACCCATGCTGCAGTGCAATTGAGCCATCTTAGCTCACTGCAACCTCCACCACCCGGATCCAAGAGATTCTTCTGCCTCAGCCTCCCAAGGAGCTGGAATTACAGACGTGTGCCACCACACCTGGGTAATTTTTAGTAGAGATGGGGTTTTGCCATGTTGGTCAGGCTGGTCATGAACTCCTGACCTCAGGTAATCCATCCGCCTCGGGCTTCCAAAGTGTTGGGATTACAGGCATGAGCCACCATGCCGGACTGGGTGATTTTTTTTGAGACAGAGTGTTGCTCCGTCACTCATGCTGGAGTATAGAGGTGCTGTCATAGTTCACTGAAGCCTCAGCCTCCTGTGCTTAAGCGATCCACTGCCTCAGCCTCCAGAGTAGCTGGGATTACAGGTCTGAGCCACTGTGCCTGGCTGAGACAGGTACTTTGGAGTTAGGGAACTGTGTGTATACCTGAGAGGTTTGCCTTGAGTTTTGCATTTTGTTTTATTTTTATTTTTATTTGGAGACAAAGTCTCGCTCTGTTGCCCAGGCTGGAGTGCAGTAGCGTGATCTCGGCTTACTGCAACCTCCGTCTCCCAGGTTCAGGTGATTCTCCCACCTCAGCCTTCCGAGTAGATGGGACTACAGATATGTGCCACCACACCCAGCTCCTTTTTTTTTTTTTTTTTTTGTATTTTTAGTAGAGATGGGGTTTCACCATGTTGGCCAGGCTGGTCTTGAACTCCTGACATCAGGTGATCCACCTGCCTCAACCTCCCAAAGTCCTGGGATTACAGGCTTGAGCCATTGTGCCTGGCGTTTATTTTATTTTATTTTATTTTATTTATTTATTTTGTTTATTTGAGACAGAGTCTCGCTCTGTCACCCAGGCTGGAGTGCAGTGGCATGATCTCGCTCACTGCAACCTCCTAGGTTCAAGCAATTCTCCTGCTTCAGTCTCCTGAGTAGCTGGGATTACAGGCACATACCGGCTAATTTTTGTATTTTTAGTAGAGATGGGGTTTCACCATGTTGCCCAGGCTGGTCTTGAACTCCTGACTTCAAGTGATCTGTCTGACTCGGCCTCTGAAAGTGCTGGGATTACAGGCGTGAGCCACCACTCACAGTCTGATTTTTTTTTTTTTTTTTTTTTTTTTAAGAGACAAGAGTCTCAGCCGGGCGCTGTAGCTCATGCTTGTAATCCCAGCACTTTGGGAGTCCAAGGTGGGCGAATCACGAGGTCAGGAGATCGAGACCATCCTGGCTAATATGGTGAAACCCCGTCTCTACTAAAAATACAAAAAAATTAGCCGGGCGTGGTGGCGGGTGTTTGTAGTCCAAGCTACTCGGGAGGCTGAGACAGGAGAATGGCGTGAACCCGGGAGGCGGAGCTTGCAGTGAGCCAAGATCGCACCACTGTGCTGCAGCCTGGGCAACAGAGCGAGACTCCGTCTCAAAAAAAAAGACAAAAAAAAGAGACAGGGTCTCACTCTGTTCCCAGGCTGGAGTGCAGGGGCGCAATCATGGCTCACTGCAGCCTTGACCTCCTGGGCTCAAATGATCCTCCTGCCTCAGCCTCCCGAGTAGCTGGGACCACAGGTGTGCCCTACCATGCTTGGCTAATTTTTAATTTATTTTTTGTAGAGACGGGGTCTTGTTTTGTTGCCCAGACTAGACTTGTTACATTCATAGTGACAGAATGGTGGGTGCCAGGGACTTGGAAAACAGGTAGGGAGTGTTTCATGGGGACACAGTTTCAGTTTGGGAAGATGAGAAAGTTCTGGAGATGGGTAGTGGTGATGGTTGCACGACCATGTGCATGCACTTAATACCACTAACTGTGACCTTAAAACTGGTTAAAATATTAGATAGGCTGGACACAGTGGCTCACGCCTGTAATCCCAGCACTTTGAGAGGCCGAGGAAGGTGGATCACCTGAGGTCGGGAGTTCAAGAACAGCCTGGCCAACATGGTGAAACCCCGTCTCTACTAAAAATACAAAAGTAGCTGGGCATGGTGGTGCATGCCTGTAATCCCAGCTACTCGGGAGGCTGAGGCAGGAGAATCACTTGAACCCGGGAGGCAGAGGTTGTGGTGAGCTGAGATCATGCCATTGCACTCCAGCCTAGGCAACAAGAGTGAAACTCCATCTCAAAAAAAAAAAACAAAACACCAAAAAATCAAATTAGCTGGGTGTGATGGCACATGCCTATAATCCCAGCTACTTGGGAGGCTGAGGCAGAAGAATCGCTTGAACCCAGGAGGCGGAGGTTGCAGGGGGCCCAGATCGTGCCACTGCACTCCAGCCTGGGCAACAGAGCAAGACTCTGTCTCAATAAATAAATAAATAAATAAATTATTGGATATTATTAAGATGGTAAATTTTATGTCATGTATATTTTACCACAAATTAAAAAAATGGTAAATGACTAAAGACCAAACAAAAATGTATTAGGATAATGGTCCACTTCTGCAGTGAAGGAGTTGATGGAGACCTCCAAGAAGCTGGTTCAAGCCCCCTAAACCCAGACCTGGAGGAAGACCCTGCTGAATAGATGATGTCACAGACAGAGGCAGAAGCCCCAGGATTGGTGGAGAGACAGACATTGGAATGAGAGAAACAGGGTCTGGACCCCAGGCAGGGTAGAACTCAGTCCTCCGCCGGCCCGCTCCCCATTGTACACCCCAGGCCCACCTTGATCTTGGAGCCGGCAGTGCTGGGGCGCCCCTTCTTGTCTCCATCCAGCTTCTCGGGGAAGAGCATCCGGAGGAAGGCCCTGGGTAGGAGAGGGGAGAGGAGGAGTTGGAGGTATGGCTGGACCTTGGGGTGCCCTCCTCCAGAGGTGGGGCAGCCTCAATGCCACAATGCAAAATATGGTTCTCTCAATGTAGAGGGGAGTTGTAATGGGTGAGATGCAGAAGGTTGGTTTTTTCTGTTTTTTTTTGAGACGGAGTCTCGCTCTGCCGCCCAGGCTGGAGTGCAGTGGTGCGATCTCGGCTCACTTCAAGCTCCGCCTCCCGGGTTCACGCCATTCTCCTGCCTCAGCCTCCCGAGTAGCTGGGACTACAGGCGCCCGCCACCTCGCCCGGCTAATTTTTTGTATTTTTAGTAGAGACGGGGTTTCACCGTGTTAGCCAGGATGGTCTCGATCTCCTGACCTCGTGACCCACCCGCCTCGGCCTCCCAAAGTGCTGGGATTATAAGTGTGAGCCACCACGCCTGGCAGTTGTTTTTTTAATTTGTTTTTTGAGACAGGGCTTCGCCTTGTCCTCCAGGTTGGGGGGCATTGGTGTCATCATAGTCACTGCAGCCTGGAACTCCTGGGCTCAAGCCAATGTGTGAATGTATTGAATGCCACTGAATTGTACATTTCATTTTATTTTATTTTATTTTATATTTTATTTTATTTATTTATTTCCTTTATTTTTCTTTGCCACAAAAAGGGAACAACATGGATAAATTGTACATTTTAAAATGGTTAATAAGTCTGGGCACGGTGGCTCGTGCCTGTAATCCCAGCACTTTGGGAGGCTGAGGCAGGAGGATCACCTGCAGTCAGGAGTTCGAGACCAGCCTAACCAACATGGTGAAACCCCATCTCTACTAAAAATACAAAAATTAGCCGGGTGTGATGGTGGGACGCCTATAATCCCAGCTACTCGGGAGGCTGAGGCAGGAGAATCGCTTGAACCCAGGAGGCGGAGGTTGCAGTGAGCTGAGATAGTGCTACTGTACTCCAGCCTGGGCGATAGGGCAAGAGACACTGTCTCAAAAAAAAAAAAAAAAAAAAAAAAAAAAAAAAAATTGGACTGTGGTGATGGTTGCACAATTCTGGGAATTTGCTAAACGTCATTGATTTAGACATTGCTTAATGTGGGTGGATTTAATGGTAAGTCCGCTCCTGGGAAATGTGGGTGCATTCTGGTTTAAAGGTCAGGTTAGATTCAAATAGTTCTAAATCTGTTTGTTCAGATGCTGATAGTTCAGAATCAGATGCAGATTCTGATTCTCCAGGTCTGGGGTGGAGTTTGAGATTCTGCCTTTTTTTCTCCCTCAGAGATAAGGTCTGTTGCCAAGGCTGGAGTGCAGTGGCACAGTCACGGCTCACTGCAGCCTCCACCTCCTAGGCTCAAGTGATCCTTCCATCTCAGCCTCCTGAGTAGCTGGGACTATAGGCATGTGCCACCACACCCAGCTAATTAATTTATTATTATTATTTTTTACTGGCAGAGTACACAAGTAAAAAAACGATTTTTTTTTTAATTAATTTTTTTTTTTTTTTGAGACAGAGTCTCGCTTAGTCGCCCAGGCTGGAGTGCAATGGCGCGATCTCGGCTCACTGCAAGCTCCGCCTCCCGGGTTCACGCCATTCTCCTGCCTCAGCCTCCCGAGTAGCTGGGACTACAGGCGCCTGCCGCCTCGCCCGGCTAATTTTTTTGCATTTTTAGTAGAGACGGGGTTTCACCGTGTTAGCCAGGATGGTCTCGATCTCCTGACCTCGTGATCCGCCCGCCTCGGCCTCCCAAAGTGCTGGGATTACAGGCGTGAGCCACCGCACCCGGCCTTTTTTTTTTTTTTTTTGAGACGGAATCTGGCTCTGTCGCCCAGGCTGGAGTACAGTGGCCGGATCTCAGCTCACTGCAAGCTCCGCCTCCCGGGTTCACGCCATTCTCCTGCCTCAGCCTCCCGCGTAGCTGGGACTACAGGCGCCCGCCACCTCGCCCGGCTAATTTTTTTTTGTATTTTTTAGTAGAGATGGGGTTTCACTGGGTTATCCAGGATGGTCTCGATCTCCTGACCTCATGATCCGCCCGTCTCGGCCTCCCAAAGTGCTGGGATTACAGGCTTGAGCCACCGCGCCCGGCCAAAAAAAAAAACGATTTTTTTTTTTTTTTGTAGAGACAGGGGTCTTGCTATGTTGCCCAGGCTGGTCTTGAACTTGGGACCTCAAGTGATCCTTCTGCCTAAGGAAATTCCACATTGGAAACAAGGCCCAAGGATGCCCAGGTTGCTGGTCTGGGAACCACATGTCAAAACTTTAAGGATCCCTGTCATATTACTTTACGCCTGATACTACATTCTTCGTGGGTTTTTTGTTTTTGTTTTTTGAGATGCAGCTGTTGTCCAGGCTGCAGGCTGGAGTGCAGTGGCGCAATCTTGGCTCACTGCAAGCTCCGCCTCCCAGGTTCACGCCATTCTCCTGCCTCAGCCCCCTGAGGAGCTGGGACTACAGGCGCCTGCCACCTCGCCCGGCTAATTTTTTGTATTTTTAGTAGAGACGGGGTTTCACCCTGTTAACCAGGGTGGTCTCAATCTCCTGACCTTGTGATCCGCCCGCCTCGGCCTCCCAAAGTGCTGGGATTACAGGCGTGAGCCACTGCGCCCGGCCTTTTTTTTGTTTTGAGACAGAATCTCCCTCTGTTGCCCAGGCTGGAGTGCAATGACACGATCTTGGCTCACTATAACCTCTGCCTCCTGGGTTCAAGTGATTTTCATGCCTCTGCCTTCTGAGTAGCTGGAATTACAGGTGCGCGCCACCACACCTAGGTAATTTTTATAATTTTGGTGGAGACAAGGTTTCGCCATGTTGCCCAGGCTGGTCTCAAACTCTTGGCCTGACGTGATTTGACCACCTCGGCCTCCCAGAGGGCTGGGATTATAGGCGTGAGCCACCGCGCCCGGCCTCTGGAATTACTTTTTACATCAGAACTAGTCCATAGAAACAGCATCCTGGCCACACAGCCACTCCCCTTGAGTTTGTGGCGAGATGGCAGCTCTTGGGAAGATGGGGTGGTGCCTGGTCCTCCCTCCATCCCCTTGGGGGGTTGTAGCCGGAGGTCCCCATGCCTGTGACCACTCACTGCTCACTGGTCTGCATCAGCTCTATGAGGTCAGAGAAGAGAACGTCTCGGTTCCTCTCGCAGAAGCCGCTGACGTCGTAGGAGACCTGGAGGGGACAGGACAGCGCTGAGGACAGTGAGGGACTGAGAGACCTGGCTGGGAGGGTGGGCGCAGAGTGCTTACAGCCCAGGTGGTCAGGGGTTTCCTGGGGCCTGCTGTGGGGTGAGGGGATCGAGGAGTGTCTACAGCGCTGGTTGGGGGGTATCTACAGTTCAGAATAGGGGATGGGGGTGGGCTCCCTGGAGGGCTGATATTCAAGTTGAGGTTAGAGGATCGTAGCTGTATCCCAGGTCAGAGGTAAGGGGAGGTGGGGGTTACAACCTAAATGAGCCGGGAGAGAGCTGCAGTTTGCATCAGAGGCCACGTGGCAGTGAAAGTTATAGCTCAGATTGGTGGGTGAGGGGTTGCAGCCTGGGTGGGGGGCCCCTGGGAGTCAGAGGTTAGATTAGGTATCTGTGACCTGGTCAGTCAGGGGCCAGTGTGGGGGGCGTGTGTCAGGATAACAGCCCTACCTCAGGGATCCCTGCGAGGGGACTTCAGCCAGGATTGGGGGTTGGAGCTGCTACCAAAGGTTGGTTGGGGCTCTCTGTAGTTCCGAGCAGGGCTTTTGTAACCAGGCTGGCATGCTGTGGCACAATCTTGGTTCACTACAACCTTAGCCTCCTGGGTTCAAGTGATTCCCCTGCCTAAGCCTCCCAAGTAGCTGGGATTACAGGCGCCCACCACCACGCCCAGCTGATTTTTGTATTTTTAGTAGAGATGGGGTTTCACCATATTGGCCAGGCTGGTCTTGAACTCCTGACCTCAGGTGATTCACCCGTCTTGGCCTCGCAAAGTGCTGGGATTACAGGTGTGAGCTGCCACTCCCAGCCTCTCCAGCCCATTTTAGGGGCAATCCTAGGAACTTCTGCTCTCATGTTGTGAGATCCTCAGATCACTGCCCGAGAGTCTACAGTCCTGTCCACTGGGGAGCGGGGCTGCAGGCATGGCTGGAGGCCAGTGGATTTCTGTAGCCTGGGATAGGGGTCTGTAGGAGGGCGTCAGCACATTTTGAAGGCTGGTGGCTCACAGAAGGGACCTGGGGGCTTTGGGGATTTCCTCTCCAAATTGGGATCAGAAAGTGGGGGGCTGTGTCCTAGTCAGGGGGTTATGATTTACATTGGGGCTTATCTGGGAGCACAGGCGGTCTGGTACTCAAGCTGGTGTTAATCGGGGGGGATTTCTGTTCCCTCTGTTAGGGAGTTGATGTGTAAGGGAAGCTGTTGCCTGGATCAGAGGCCATCGGGTTTCTGCAGCCCTGGCCCAGGGAACACGGTGGTAGTGGTGGTCGTGGTGCTGGTGGGGTCCAGGCAAGTTTGGGGCTTAGAGAGTTCCTGGGGGGTCAGCTGGAAGGGTCTGTAGTTCTGGTTAGTAGGGGGTGGATTGAAGCAGGGGGACGGTGGAATTCTACAGCTCTGGATGAGGGTCCTAGCAGGCTCGCTCCAGCCTGCGTGCTGGAGGGTGGGGGCTACAGCCCGGAGCCCTGGGGTTCTGCGAGGTGGCACAGGGTGGGGTAGGGGCCAGGGGCACACCTTGCCAGCGTAGTGGTGGATGACGAAGCCGGCGCTCCAGCTGTTGAAATGCTCGTGGGTGCCCACGGCCGCCTGCAACTTCTGCAGCAGTGTCTGGTCTGCTCCCCCGCCCGTGGCGTGCATGGTGGCACACACGTCGTCCAAGACGCTCATGATGCCTGGGGGGCTCTGTGGGGCGAGGGGGAGCCAGCAGCGGTTCAGTTTGGTCTGCCTTGCCTCCCCATGGCTCATCAGTGTGGAGATTAGGGGAGGGCGGGGGTGGAGGAGTAGAGGGAGCTAGAGCTTTGGAGGCGGGGAGGGCACCAGGGGCTTCCAAATACAAGCACAAAAGGCATTGCAGGGGTCAGGGATGGAAGGGATAGGGGGGCAGGGGTGTGTGGGGCTGCTGTGGAAGCTCGCTGGGGTGCAGAAGTAGCTGGGGGCCCCTCAAGAGATTCAGGTCTCAGACTAGAATCCCTTGGTAGGGGGACCTGCCTTATTTATTTGTTTGTTTGTTTATTTAGTTACTTATTTATTTATTTAGAGACGGAGTCTTGTTCTGTTGCCCAGGCTGGAGTGCAGTGGTATGATCTCAGCTCACTGCAGCCTCCATCTCCCAGGTTCGTGATTCTCCTGCTTCAGCCTCCGGAGTAGCTGGGATTACAGGCGTGCTGCCACCATGCCAGGCTAACTTTTGTATTCTTTAGTAGAGATGGCGTTTCACCATTTTGGCCAGGCTAGTTTCGATCTCCTGGCCTCAGGTGATCCACCTGCCTTGGCCTCCCAAAGTGCTGGGATTACAGGCATGAGCCACCGTGCCCAGCCTAAATACTTTTTAAATTTAATTTTTTTGAGACAGGGTCTTGTTCTGTTCCTCAGACTGGAGTGTGGTGGCGCAATCATAGCTCACTGCACCCTCAACTTCCTGGGCTCAAGTGATCCACCTCAGCCTCCCGGGTAGCTGGGATTACAGGCGCCCACCACCATGCCTGGATAATTTTTTGTATTTTTAGTAGAGACGGGTTTTCACCATGTTGGTCAGGCTGGTCTCCAACTCCCGACCTTAGGTGATCCGCCCGCCTCGGCCTCCCAAAGTGCTGGGATTACAGGTGTGAGCCACCGTGCCCGGCATGGAATCTGCAAATTTGACTGACTCTGAGCTGGGGTTTCCGGGGCAGTGTTTATTGAATGATTAAGCGACAGGTGGACAAGTAGGCGGAATGAATGGATGAGGGGCGGAAGGGACATTTTGGTTGTGTTCTGTCTGCTGGAAGGCCTGAGTGTAGCGTGGAGAAGGGCCTGAGGATGCCATAACGTCCTTGTCCCTCCCCCCATCTTCCAGACTCAGCTTAGGGGCCCAGTGAGACGCCCCCGCGAAAGTTGACCCAGCCCTCACCAGCTTGTTTTCGATGAGGTCACAGACGACCTTGTTGTTGAAGTACTGGATTGGAGTCCAGCGGATGCCTTCCTGTACGTACTCCTCCTGGGGATGGAAAAGAGGGTGGGCGGGGGGGGGCAGTGAGAAATGTGTAGCCACCCTTCTCCCCATGTCCTCTCCTCTTCTCCATCTTATCACTTAGGACTGTCTCTGGTAACAAAGCCCATCACTCCTGTGTGAGCAAGGCTGGAAGTGCCAGGGAATTATATTTGGTTCTGGGAGTCCTTGACCAATAATCAACAAGAGCGGGTAGATAAATACCCCAGCTCCCTCGCTTCTCTGTGTGCTCCATGAAGCCTCCTCGAGTCCCAGTGCAGTTGCACACTGGTTGTCCACAGCATAACTTGCTCATTAATGTCCTATTTGGACTCTTTTTTTTTGAGGTGGAGTTTCGCTCTTGTTGCCCAGGCTGGAGTGCAATGGCACGATCTTGCCTCATCGCAACCTCTGCCTCTGCCTGAAGGGATTCTCCTGCCTCAGCCTTCTGAGAAGCTGGGATTACCGGCTTGTGCTGCCACGCCTGGCTAATTTTGTATTTTTAGTAGAGATGGGGTTTTTCCATGTTGGTCAGGCTGGTCTCCCACCTCGGCCTCCCAAAGTGCCGGGATTACAGGCATACAGGCATGAGCCACTGCACGCAGCTTGCTTTTTTTTTTTTTTTTTTTTTTTGAGACCAGGTTTTGCTGTTACCCAGGCTAGAGCTCAGTGATGTGATTCTAGCTCACTGCAACTTTGACCTCCAGGGCTCAAGTGATCCTCTCATCTTAGCCTTCTGAGTAGCTGGGATCTCGGGAGCACACCACCACACCTGGCTAATTTTTATGTTTTTTGTAGAGATGGGGTCTCACTATGTTGTCCAGGCTGGCTTTGAACCCCCAGGCTCAAGCGATCCTCTTACCTCAGCCTCCTAGATAGCTGGGACTATAGGTGTGAGTGATTGTGTCTGGCTCGGTCTGTCTCTCTTTTTTTTCTTTTCTTTTCTTTTTTTTATTTTTATTTTTATTTTTATTTATTTATTTATTTATTTATTTATTTATTTTGAGACAGGGTCTCATTCTGTTGCCTAGGCTGGAGTGCAGTGGCACAGTCTCAGCTCACTGCAACCTCTGCCTCCTGGGTTCAAGTGATTCTCCTGCCTCAGCCTCCTGAGTAGCTGGGATTACAGGTCCCCACCACCACGCCCGGCTAAGTCTTATATTTTTAGCAGAGACGGGGTTTCACCATGTTGGCCAGGCTGGTCTCAAACTCCTGACCTCAGATGATCCACCCGCCCCAGCCTCCCAAAGTGCTGGGATTACAGGCGTGAGCCACTGCGCCCGGCCTCTCTCTCTCTTTTAAAAAAATCCCTGTCTCAGAGCTGGGCATGTTAACTCATGCCTGTAGTCCCAGCACTTTGGCAGGCCAAGGCAGGAGGATTGTTTGAGGCCAGGAGATCAAGACCAATCTGGGCAACAAAGTGAAACATTGACTCTACAAAGAAGTTTTAAAATATTAGCCAGGCATGATGGTGTGTGCCTGTGGTCCCAGCTACTTGAGAGGCTGAAATGGGAGGATTGTTTGAGCCCAGGAGGTGTAGACTGCAGTGACCTGTGATCACACCACTGCACTCCAGCCTGGACAACAGAGCGAGATCCTGTCTCAAAAAAAAAAAAAAAAAAAAAAAAAAAAAGGCCGGGCATGGTGGCTGATACCTGTAATCCCAGCACTTTGGGAGGCTGAGGTGGGTGGATCATGAGGTCAGGAGTTTGAGACCAGCCTGGCCAATATGGTGAAACCCTGTCTCTACTAAAAATACAAAAATTAGCTGGGCATGGTGGCGGGTGCCTGTAGTCCCAGCTTGGGAGGCTGAGGCAGGAGAATCACTTGCACCCTGGAGGCAGAGGTTGCAGTGAGCTGAGATCATGCCACTGCACTCCAGCCTGGGCGACAGAACGAGACTCTGTCTCAAAAAAAAAAAAAAAAAAAAAAAATCCCTGACTTTCTTCCTCTGTCTCATCTTGGAGCTTCCTGGGATTGCCTCCCAGAAAAACCATTTGTCCCTGAATCCTTGCCTCAGGCTCTGCTTCTGGGGGAGGGGCTAAATGCAGACAGCAGGGACTATTGCCTTATTGTTCATGGCTGTGTCTCCAAGCACCCTAAACAGTACCTGGCACACAACAGGTGCTCAATAAATAATTGCTGAATGAATGAACTAAGAGGCACGGTCCTTCCCAAAGCTTTAGAGGCAGAAGGAAGTGTCACTATGGAGCCTGGGCAGGTTGGCACAGAGAGGTGAGAATGTGGTGGGGAGGGCTGAGGTGTCCCCTAGTTGCTAAGGGATCCTCATGGTCCTTCCACCCCACCCCCACCTCACGATCCTCCATCCCTGGCTGCTTGGCTGCCCACCTGCTCGGCCTTCAGGGTGAGTTCGATAAAGATTTGCTGCAGCTTCTCGTTGACGAAGTTGATGCAAAACTGCTCGAAGCCATTTTTCTGCAGAAGGAGGAAAAGGGTCCTTCCCTCAATGTCCTGGTGCTAGAAGTTCTTGTGGCCACCCCGAGCTGCCCCAGGGAGGACAGGATGTGGGCTGGAGGCAGGGGGCCTTACCTGGAAGATCTCGAAGCCATAAATGTCCAGCACACCGATGCTGTACTCTTCCTGGGGTTTTTGCATAGCACGGTTGATGGCCTGCGGTGTGGGTGGAGACAGGAGGTCAGTGGGCATCGGTCAGATCTGAAGCCCCCGCCCACCACTCCTTAGACACACGCCTAGCCAACTTCATGGGTGATGTCCCCTCATGCCAATTTCCCTCCAGCCCTCTTTAGCTCTGCCCTTCCTGGCTCTGTATATGGTCTCCCCACTCCCCAGTCAGTCACTCAGAGGAGAAACCCAAGTGTCAGTGCATCAGGGTCTGTGGCTCCGGAGCTCACTCTGCCCCTGAACCTCTCTGCACCTCTATTTTCTTATCTTTAAAACGGGTTGATAATAGCAACTACTTTATGGGGCTTTTTCTTTTCTTTTTTTTTTTTTTGAGGTGGAGTCTCACTCTGTTGCCCAGGCTGGAAAGCCAGTGGCGCAATCTCGCCTCACTGCAACCTCCGCCTCCAGGATTCAAGAGATTCTTCTGCCTCAGCCTCCCAAGTAGCTGGGATTACAGGCATGCGTCACCACACCTGGCTAATTCTCATATTTTTAGTAGAGACGGGGTTTTGCCATGTTGGCCAGGGCTGATCTCAAACTCTTGACCTCAGGTGATCTGCCCACCTTGACCTCCCAAAGTGCTGGGATTACAGGCATGAACCACTGTGCCTGGCCATACATTTTATACTTTATTTATTTTTATTTTTTATTTTGAGATAATGTCTCAGTCTGTTGCCCAGACTGGAGTGCAGTGGCTTGATCATGGCTCACTACAGCCTCAACTTCCCGGGGTCAGGGATTCTTCCACCTCAGCCTCCTGAATAGCCGGCATTACAGGCACCAGCCACCGTGCCCGGCTAATTTTTGTATTTTTGTAGAGAAAGGGTTTCGCCCTGTTGCCCAGGCTGACTCCATACATTAAAAAAGTTTTTATTTTATTTTATTTTATTTATTTATTTATTTTGAGACAGAGTCTCGCTCCGTTGCCCAGGCTGGAGTGCAATGGCATGATCTCAGCTCACTGCAACTTCCACCTCCCGGGTTCAAGTGATTCTCCTGCCTCAGCCTCCCAAGTAGCTGAGATTAAAGGCATGTAAGGCATGTGCCACGACTCCTGGGTAATTTTTAGTAGAGATGGGGTTTCACCATGTTGGCCAGGCTGGTCTTGAACTCCAGACCTCAAGTGATCCACCTGCCTCAGCCTCCCAAAGTGCTGGGATTACAGGCATGAGCCACTACATCTGGCCAAGGTGTTTTTTTTTTTAGAGACAGAGTCTTGCTCTGTCACCTAGCCTGGAGTGCAACAGTGCAATCATAGCTCACTGCAGCCCTGACCTTCTGGGTTCAAACGATCCCCCAACTTCAGCCTCCTGAGTAGATGGAACCACAAGTGCACACCACCACACCCAACTAACTGGAAATTTCTGTAGAGATGGGGTCTTGCTATGTTGCCCAGGCTAGTCTTTTTTTCTCTCTCTCTCTCTTTTTTTTTTTTAGACAGAGTTTTGCTCTTGTTGCCTAGGCTGGAGTGCAATGGCACGGTCTCGGCTCACGGCAACCTCTACCTCCCGGGTTCAAGCAATTCTCCTGCCTCAGCCTCCGGAGTAGCTGGGATTACAGGCATGTGCCACCACGCCCGGCTAATTTTGTATTTTTAGTAGAGACGGGGTTTCTCCATGTTGGTCAGGCTGGTCTCGAACTCCCGACCTCAGGAGATCCGCCCACCTCAGCCTCCCAAAGTGCTGGGATTACAGGCGTGAGCCACCGAGCCCAGCCACCCAGGCTAGCCTTGAACTTCTGGCCTCAAACGATGCTCCCACCTCGGCCACCCAAAGCATTGGGATCGCAGGCGTGAGCCACTGCACTTGGCCTCCATAAATGTTTGTGACCCCAGAGCGCCCACTCTGCCCTCCAGCCCCAGCCCCACTCGCCTCCACGAGGAAGTCGAAGAGGCGGGCATAGAGCCCCTTGGCCAGGGCGTCGCGGGTGTAGGCTGCCTGCTCCACGTTGAGGGTCACATCGATGGACTCACTGCGCCCGCCCCAGCGGCTGTCCATCTTGCGGCTGGTCAGCTTCTCCTGCAGTCGCCCACTGTCAATGCCCAGCAGGTAGGCGGGAAAGGCCAGGACTACCGGGGCAAAGGTCAAGGCAAAAACGGGACAGTTGGTTGGGCTCTTGTGCCTCCTGCATGGGCCTCCTATTATCCCCATCTTGCCAGTGACACTGACGTTGTCCCCGTGGGCTCTCAGCTTCCTGGGGGCAGAGCTGGGAGGACGCAGTTCACACACCCACAGGCCTCCATCCCGCCCTCCCTGACACCCACACTCACGGTCCACACTCTCCACTCGGGCGTAATTCCCGTCTTCACAGAAACTTATGTTCCCTAGGTGCAAGATCCCTGCCACCAGCTGCAGGACCAGCTGCTGGATGCTGGGTGGAATCCCAATGACCTGCATGGCGCTCTGTGGGTGCAACGGGAGCAGAAACTGTGCCGCGAATCCCGGCCTCCAACCTGCCTCCAGGGGCAGGCTTGAGGGGCCACAGCACGGACTCAGGGAGTGAGCACCCTTGGGTCCCCGTCCTGCCCCTTTCAATCACTTGCTGCGTGACCTTGGGCAAGTGCCTGCACCTCTCTGGTCTTTGTTTTTTATTATATTTTTTATTTTTGAGACAGAGTCTCCCTCTGTTGCCCAGGCTGGAGTGCAGTGGCGTGATCTTGGCTCACTACCACCTCCTCATCCCGGATTCAAGCAATTTTCCTGCCTCAGCCTCCCGAATACCTGGGATTACAGGTGTGAGCACCATGTCTGGCCTAGGCTTTGGTTTCCTATTTTATTTTTTAAAGAGTCTCACTCTTTCACCCAGGTAGGAGTGCAGTGGCGCTATCTTGGCTCACTGCAACCTCCACCTCCTGGGTTTAAGCGATTCTCCTGCCTCAGCCGCCTGAGTAGCTGGGACTACAGGCACATGCCATCACGCCTGGCTAATTTTTGTATTCTTAGTAGAGACGGGGTTTCACTATGTTGGCCAGGCTGGTCTCGAACTCCTGACCTCAGGTAATCCACCTGCCTCGGCCTCCCAAAGTGCTGGGATTACAGGCATGAGCCACCGCGCCTGGTCTTTTTTTGGTTTTTGAGATGGAGTCTCACTCTGTTGCTCAGGCTGGAGTGCAGTGTTGTGATGTCGGCTCACTGCAACTTCTGCCTCCTGGTTTCCAGCAATTCTCCTGCCTCTGCCTCCCCAGTAGCTGGGATTACAGTCACGCACCATCATGCCCGGCTAATTTTTGTATTTTAAGTAGAGACGGGGTTTAACCACGTTGGCCAGGCCGGTCTCAAACTCCTGACTTTAAGTCATCTGCCTGCCTCGGCCTCCCAAAGTGCTGGGATTACAGGCGTGAGCCACTGTGCCTGGGCTGGGCTTCGTTTTCCTAATTTGTAACTCAGGGGAGTTTCTGGGGCTGAGGTCTGCCTGGCTGGGGACTGGGGTGGAGGCCGGTGCTCACCAGAGTCTCACCAAAGTCACTTCTGTCGTCGGTGCCGTCCACCTGGTAGGTGTCCGATTGGTTGAGGTAGTAATAGTAGTCTGGTGTCATGAGGCCCAGGTTCTGCCTTTGCTCCTGGGAGGCCCCTTCCAGCAGCTGGAGTGTGTGCAATGTTCATGCATCTGGTGCTTGCCTGGCTCAGCCCCTGTGATCCCCCCATCTGCCCTGCCATGCCCTCCCAAGCATGTACTTTTCCATTGTCCACCCTGCTGGGCTCCAGGTGGGGCTCACTCTCCCCCAGCCTCTTCCCTGCACCTGGTAGTAGATGTGGAAGTTCCTCTCATTTTCATTCTGCATGACCACGCGGGACTTCTCCAGCAAGAAGTTGGAGATCTTGCCCCCATCCGGCTCCCCACCTCGGCTGAACTGGATCTCAAAGTACTTGCCCTGAATTTGAGAGAACCATGTCAGCACCCCAGCATCCTGGGGTGCAGGTTGGGGAAGGATTAGGGATGGGTCTTATGAGCCTTGCCTCTCTTCCCTTCTTCCTTTTTTTTTTTTTGGACAGAGTCTCACTCTGTTGCCCAGGCTGGGGTGCAGTGGCGCTATCTCGGCTCACTGCAACATCCACTTCCTGGGTTCAAGTGATTCTCCTGCCTCAGCCCCCTGAGTAGCTGGGACTACAGGTGCCCGCCACCACGCCCAGCTAATTTTTGTAGTTTTGGTAGAGACGGGGTTTCATCATGTTGGCCAGGCTGGTCTTGAACTCCAGACCTCAAGTGATCCACCTGTCCCAGCCTCCCAAAGTGCGGGGATTTCAGGCGTGAGCCCCCCCGTACCCAGTCCAAGGGTATGGAATTTAGTAAACCATGTGCATGTGCAGGTGTAATACTAAAGTCTATGAGATGGATATTAACATCATCCCCATTTTATGGATGAGCAAACAAAGGAAACTCAGGAAGTTACATCGATTTTTTTCCCCCAGGCTACACAGCTCACAATGACAGAATCAGACCCTGAATTCAGATCTGTTTACCTATCCTGTCTTCCACTGGGCCCAGCACAGCACCCACACAAAGAACGAGTCCCAGAACTATTGTCGAAAGAAGGAATAAATGAGGGACTAAATTGGACCTGAAATGTGAATGGGAACAATGTAGCATGGCTGCAGCCAGGGAGCATTTAAGAATGTTACACAGGGGTGTCATGGCCTCCACAGTTCTCCAATGGGGGACTCCCTTTTGAAATGGACCATGAGCAGGAAGTGAGTCTCCCATTCAGGAGCAGGTATTTCCTGCTGGGTTTCCAATGGGCTCTTGTCCTGGCAATGCAGATGTGTGTATGTGTGGTTGTGTGTGTAGAAAGGTCAGCACGGATGGAGCAGCTTCTCCAAGCAGAGCTGCAGAGACTCACAAAGCGGCTGGAATTATTGTTGCGCACAGTCTTGGCGTTGCCGAAAGCCTCGAGCAGCGGGTTGGACTGCAGGATGATATCTTTGACATGCTGGGGGCAGAGGCAGGTCGGGTGGGAAGAAGTCAGACGGGGGCAGGAGTGCAGATGAGTGGGGCTGCACTACCATGCAGGTGAGGGCGACCCAGCTCATCCTTCTGTTTTTCTCGTCTCACCTGGACCTTGTTGCCTCCGCCAGACACCTTGGAGATGTAGCCCATGATGTATTTAGCTGCCACTGTCTTCCCAGCTCCACTCTCTCCACTGGGGATGAATGGAGGAATAAATGATCAGTGGATGGGGTTGGGGGGAAGAGCCCTTTTTAGTGCCTGACTATTTATTCATTAAGCACCTACTGTGTGCCTGCCAGTATTCCGGGTACTGGGGATGCCATAATGAACAAGACAGATAAAATCTCTGCTTTCAGCCGGGCATGGTGGCTCATATAATCCTATAACCCCAGCACTTTGGGGGCCTGAGGAGGGAGAATCACTTGAGGTCAAAAGTTTGAGACCAGCCTGGCCAACATGGTGAAACCCAGACTCTGTTAAAATACAAAAATTAGCCGGACATGGTGGTAGGCGCCTGTAATCCCAGCCAGCCACTCAGGAGGCTGAGGCAGGAGAATTGCTTGAACCTGGGAGGCGGACGTTGCAGTGAGCTGAGGTTGCACCATGCACTCCGGCCTAGGTGACAGACTGAGACTCTCACACACACACACACACACACACACACACACACACACACACACACTCTCTCTCTCTCTCTCTCTCTCTCTCTCTCTCTCTCTCTCTCTCTGCTCTCATAGAGCTGGTATAGATGGATTGACTGAGATGGGGTCTCATTCTGTTGCCCAGGCTGGAGTGCAGTGGTGTGATCATAGCCCCCTGTTCCTGCCTGGAACTCCTGGGCTCAAGCAATCCTCCCTCCTCAGCCTCCTGAGTAGCTGTGGACTACAGGCATGCACCACAGTGCGCGGCTAATTATTTTATTTTTATAGAGACAGGGTGTTGCCATGTTGCCCAGGCTGGTCTTGAACTCCTGGCCTCAAGAGATCCTCTTGCCTTGGCCTCCCAAAGTGCCGGGATTACAAGCATAAGCCACCACACCTGGCCTGAGGTGACATTTAGAGGGGACAGACAGACAATAGCAGAATGAATCAATAAAATACATTGTGAGTCAGATGGTGACAAGGAAAATAAAACAGGGTGAGGGCAGAGAGGGACAGCAGGGCTGTGTTCAGATTGGGAGTTTCAGGCAAACCTCCCTGGGGGCAGTGATGATGTTTCAGTGGGGGCCTGGGCAGCAGGGTCTGTGGCGCCCCAACCCCGTCCATACCTAATGATGACACATTGGTTCTCACAGTCGATAAGCATGTTTCGGTACATGTTGTCCGTGAGGGCGTAGATGTGCGGGGGATTCTCATACTGGGCCTGGTGGGGGAGGTCAGGTCTCAGCCCAGGGCTGGGGGCTAGAGGTCTCGGGGCTGTGGCTCCCACCCAGCGCCAGCCTCTGCCTCCCACCCAGCCCCAGCCTCACCGCGCCCTGGTAGAGGTCGATCTCACGGTCGGTGAAGTAGGGCATCTGCTTGAAGGGGTTTACGGAGATAAGCACAGAGCCGATGTAGGTCTGAGGGATGGTTAAGGGTCGTGCAGTGTACTGGTAGGTTTTGTCCTCCCTGTCCCCTCATCCTGTCCCCACCCAGGGCTTCCCAGAACTGCATTGCTTGGAGGTGGAAGAGATGGAGATATTGGATGCACCTCGAGTCTCTTGGAAAAAACAGGGCTGGCCGGGTGCGGTGGCTCATGCCTGTAATCCCAGCACTTAGGGAGGCCGAGGCAGGCAGATCACTTGAGGTCAGGAGTTCAAGACGAACTTGGCCAACGTGGTGAAACCTTGTCTCCACTAAAAATACAAAAAATTAGCCGAGCATGGTGATGCGTGCCTGTGATCCCGGCTACTTGGGAGGCTGAGAGAGGAGAATCACTTGAACCTGGGAGGCAGAGGTTGCAGTGAGCTGAGATCGTGCCATTGCATGCTAGCCTGGGCAACAAGAGCCACTCAGTCTCAAAAACAAAACACAAAAACAAAAAAATTAGCCAGGCATGGTGGCTCATGCCTGTAATCCCAGCTACTTGGGAGGCTGAGGCAGGAGAATCGTTTGAATCAGGGAGGCAGAGGTTGCAGTGAGCCGAGATTGTGCCACTGCACTCCAGCCTGGGCGACAGAGCAAGACTCCATCTAAAAAAAAAAAAAAAAAAAAAAAAAAAAAAAGAAAGAAAAGAAAAAAAATAGGGTTGGATGTGGAATGGGGGAAACGGAACACACTGGGGCTGAGCTTCTCCAGGACAGAGGGAGCAGTGGCAGCCACAGCTGCCCCCAACCAGAGCCCTGCTGTCACTCTGTCCTCTGTCTCACCACCTGGTGCTCTCCCGGCCCATCCCTCCCTCTGCTCCATCACCCTCCTCTCCGTCCATGGCCCAGCCATTCATTCCTTCCCTGCCTGCCCGCCTCCATCCTTGGCCCAGGGTACGAAGATGTAGTCGTCCATGAAGCGCTTCCGCAGGTTGGCGGCAATGGCGTCTTCGGTGATCTGGGGAAGGAGCACCATGTCATCCACGCCGCTCTGCTTCACATTGTGGCTCTGCCAGTGGAAGCGCTCCTTGCTGCCCTAGGGGGTGAGAAGGGGTTCGGGGTGAGCCCTTGCACGGGGATGCGGCACCTGGCTCACCGATACCATCAACTGGGTTCTGTCCCACCTCCCCAGCTCCACCTCCCCAGCTCCACCTCCATTCCTCCTTCCCCATCTCCAGGAGAGGCTGGCAGCAACCAAGCCAGGTCCCCTGCCCCAGACAGAAGTTGCACCGCCTCAGATCCAGCCCTCAGCCCTCTTTATTTTTTTTATTTTTAATTTTTATTTATTTATTTATTTTGAGACAGAGTCTTACTCTGTCGTTCAGGCTGGAGTGCAGTGGCGCAATCTCGGCTCACTGCAATCTCCACCTCTCGGGTTCAAGCGATTCTCCTGCCTCAGCCTCCCGAGTAGCTGGGATTACAGGTGCCCACCACCACACCCAGCTAATTTTTAATATTTTTGATAGAGACGGGGTTTCACTATGTTGGCCAGGCTGGTCTGGAACTCCTGACCTCAAGTGATCCACCCACCTCGGGCTCCCAAAGTGCTGGGATTACAGGCGTGAGCCACCGCACCCGGCCTCTTTCTTTCTCTCTCTCTCTCTCTTTTTTTTAATTAATTTTTTTTCGCCAGGTGCAATGGCTCTTGCCTATAATCCCAGCACTTTGGGAGGTTGAGGCAGGAGGATCACTTGAGGCCAGTAGTTCGAGACCAGCCTGGGCAACATAGCAAGGCCCTGTCTCTATTAAAAGAAAACGCCGGACGTGGTGGCTCACGTCTGTAATCTCAGCACTTTGGGAGGCCGAGCCGGGTGAATCCGAGGTCAGGAGTTTGAGACCACCCTGGCTAACATGGTGAAACCCCGTCTCTACTAAAAATACAAAATTAGCCAGGTGTGGTGGTGCATGCCTGTAATACCAGCTACCCGGGAGGCTGAGGCAGGAGAATCGCTTGAACCTGGGAGACGGAGGTTGTAGTGAGCCGAGATCACGCCATTTCACTCTAGCCTGGGCAACAAGAGCTAAACTCTGTCTCAAAAAAAAAAAAAAAAAGGCAATCTGAAAAGGCTATATACTGTCTGATTCCAACTATAGGATATTCTGGAAAAGGCAAAACTATGAGGACAGTAAAAGATCAGTGGGGCCAGACGCAATGGCTCAACCTGTAATCCCAGTACTTTGGGAGGCCGAGATGTGAGGACTGCTTGAGGCCAGGAGTTCAAGACCAGCCTGGGCAACACAGCGAGACCCCCATCTCTACAAAAAATAGAAAAATTAGACAAGAGTGGTGACATGTGTCTGTGGTCCTGGCTACTCTGGAGGCTGAGGTGGGAGGATCACTTGAGCCCAGGATGCGGAGGTTGCAGTGAGCTGATATTTTGCCACTACACTCCAGCCTGGATAACTCTTGTCTCAAAAAAGAAACAAACAAAACAAAAAAACAAACAAAAAACCAAACAAACAAAAGTTTTTTTTTTTTTTTTTTTTTTTTTTGAGACGCAGTCTCACTCTGTAGCCCAGGCTGGAGTGCAGTGGCCGGATCTCAGCTCACTGCAAGCTCCGCCTCCTGGGTTCACGCCATTCTCCGGCCTCAGCCTCCCGAGTAGCTGGGACTACAGGCGCCCGCCACCTCGGCCGGCTAGTTTTTTGTATTTCTTAGTAGAGACGGGGTTTCACCGTGTTAGCCAGGATGGTCTCGATCTCCTGACCTCGTGATCCACCCGTCTCGGCCTCCCAAAGTGCTGGGATTACAGGCTTGAGCCACCGCGCCCGGCCACAAAAAAAGTTTTGAGACAGGGTCTCACTCTGTCGCCCAGGCTGGAGTGCAGTGGTTCGATCATAGCTCTGTGCAGCCTCTACCTCCTGGGCTCAAGCAATTCTCCCATCGCACCACAGGCTCCCGGGTAGCTGGGACTACAGATGTGCACCACCATGCCTGGATAATTTTTGTATTTTTTGTAGAGATGGGGTCTTGCTATGTTGCCCCGGCTGGTCTTGAACTCCGGGACTCAATGGATTATCTGTCTCAGTCTCCCAAAGTGGTGGGATTATAGGCGTGAGCTACCACACCCAGGCCCTCAGCCCTCTCCTTTGGTCTCTTTGCCCATTCGTCACCCCACCTAGTGCCCCTCACTTCCCATGAAGGATGCCAGGCTTGGCGGGCAGGGCACAGGAGCAGGAGCAGGGCAGACTGCAGGAGCAGAGCAGGGAGACCCGGGCAACTTGGTGGGAAGTGGGCACATCATGGTTCTCACTTCCTGCCAGCCTCCCAGCCTCTCCCTTTCACATCCCCCATCCCCTCCCCAGGCCCAGGCCAGTCCCTGACTTCTCTGTGGCATTTGACCCACTGCTGCTATGTGGCCTCCTTCCTTCTCCCCCTCCCACCTCTCCTCTTCTCTTGTGGTCACACATCCCAGCTGGTCCCTTTGAGCTCCTCCAGGCCACCATGTCCTGTGACCTCTGCTCTCTGTGCCTGTGTGTGACTTTGTTCCTCAGCTCCACCCTCTACTCCCAGCCCTGCCTCCCTGCTGCCCCTGCCACGGCCTTCTCCTCTGTGTCCCTTCACCTTGCCCCTCAGTAGTGCCAGCACCTTCCCAGATTCCCACTTTCTCATTTCACTTCCTCTCTGTTTTTCTTTTTCTTTTCTTTTTCTTTTTTCTTTCTTTCTTTCTTTTTTTTTTTTTGAGTCAGTCTTGTTCTGTCACCCAGGCTGGAGTGCAGTGGCGGGATCATAGCTCACTGTAGCCCTGACCTCCTGGGCTCAAGAGATCCTCCCACCTCAGCCTCCTGAGTAGCTGGGACCACAGGTGTGTGTCACCATGCCCAACTAATATTTAAATTTTTTTGTATTGATGGAGTCTTGTTATGTTGCTCAGGCTGGTCTTTAACTTCTGGCCTCAAGTGATCCTCCCACCTCAATCTCCCAAAGTGCTGGAATTTCAGGCATGAGTCACCTCGCCTGACCCAGACGACACTTTCTTTATTTTTTTTTTTTGTTGAGACAGAGTCTCGCTTTGTCGCCCAGGCTGGAGTGCAGTGGCCGGATCTCAGCTCACTGCAAGCTCCGCCTCCCGGGTTCACGCCATTCTCCTGCCTCAGCCTCCTGAGTAGCTGGGACTACAGGCGCCCGCCACCTCGCCCGGCTAGGTTTTTGTATTTTTTAGTAGAGACGGGGTTTCACCGTGTTCACCAGGATGGTCTCGATCTCCTGACCTTGTGATCCGCCCGTCTCGGCCTCCCAGAGTGCTGGGATTACAGGCTTGAGCCACCGCGCCCGGCCTACGACACTTTCTTTAGGCCCCATGGAGGAGACTGAGGCACATGCTCTCCAAAAAACTCCTCTTCCAGGAAGCCTGCCCTGGTTGCTCTCCTTTTAGCCCCACTGAATTTATCTGGTGCCTTAAACATCGTGGCTTTCTCAGGCTCACTCTGTCTCTATTCAGTACATCTCTGCAAAGGAGTCGTCTGACAGATAGGAGTGATGGCAACTTGGAACTATCCCATTTGGTGAACTCATGGTCAGATAAGATGTTTCTCCTCTTGAAAGCTCCCCCATCCCCAGGCCAGGAACTGCTGGAGGCAGAGACTGGGGCTGAGTCTTTTCTCTGTCAAATGAACAAGGGACAAAGGTAAAGAAAGAAACCCAGATTGAGAGCAAACCCCCCCCTTCCAGGGCAAATGAAGCTGGGAATGAAGTATTTTTGTTTTATTGAGATGGGGTCTTACTATGTTGCTGGATGGAATGCCGTGGTGAGACAATGGCTCGCTGCTACCTCTGCCTCCAGGGCTCAAGCGATCCCCCCACCTCAGTCTCCTGAGTAGCTGGGACTACAGGCACACACCACCAAGCCCAGCTAATTTTTTGTAGTTTTGGTAGAGATGGGGTTTCACCATGTGGCTCAGGCTGGTCTTGAACTCCTGAGCTCAAGCGACCTTCCTAACTGCTGGGATTACAGGCATGAGCCACAGCTCCCAGTCCGGGATTGAAGTCTTTTTTTTTCTGAGATGGAGTCTTGCTCTGTCGCCCAGGCTGGAGTGCAGTGGCACAATCTTGGCTCACTGCAAGCTCCGCCTCCCGGGTTCATGCCATTCTCCTGCCTCAGCCTCCTGAGTAGCTGGGACTACAGGCGCCCTGCCTGCCACTGCGCCCGGCTAATTTTTTGTATTTTCAGTAGAGATGGGGTTTCACTGTGTTAGCCAGGATGGTCTCGTTCTCCTGAACTCGTGATCCGCCCGCCTCGGCCTCCCAAAGTGCTGGGATTACAGGCGTGCGCCACCACGCCTGGCCAGGATTGAAGTCTTTAAAGTGGACTGTGTTTGCCAGTGGATTCCAGGGATACAGGCAGGGCTCAAGCAGAAGCGTCCACATGGGCCACTGTAAGGCAGAAGTGGAGCCAGTCTCTCCTGGGGGTACTGGGGAGACACGGAATGTTCTTGAGCGGGGTCGGGGGGAGGTGGAGGTGCATGGTCAGATTCTGGACACGCTGACAGCTAGAGGTGGGGGTTGTTGAGGGATGCCCATGGGCATTAAATAAGCCCAGCCTTTGGCATGGGGGTAGATCTGGGTTCTGATCCTGCCTGGGCGAACAGCTGCTGCTGTGAGTCTCTATCTCATCTGTAAACAGGAGAGGCAGCTCCACTTCCCAGGGTTGATGAGAGGATGAACTGCTTTGGGGGAACAAGGTGGGATGGGAGGCTGGTGCCCCTCTCCAAGCCTGAGTGGTTATGAGGATAGACCCAGGCTGAAGGGTGTTTGAAAGAATTAACACGGCCGGGCGTGGTGGTTCACACCTGTAATCCCAGCGCTTTGGGAGGCCGAGGCGGGCAGATCATCTAAGGTCGGGAGTTTGAGACCAGCCTGACCAACACGGTGAAACCCTGTCTCTACTAAAAATACAAAAATTAGCCTGGCGTGGTGGTGCATGCCTGTAATCCCAGTGACTCAGGAGGCTGAAGCAGAACAAATTGCTAGGGTGGCAGAGGTTGCGGCGAGCCCAGATCATGCCTGAAACTCCATCTGAAAGAAAGAGAGAGAAA